TCAACGTCGGATTCAGCGCGCTCGTCGCGTTCAACACGCTTGCTGTGCCCGACGTGCTCGGAAGGGGCACCGCCACCACCGACGAACTGGAGTTCGACGTCGGAAGAACCACCACAACCGACGAAGTAAAGGCCGGCCCAGTCGTGTTCAACGCACTCGGGGAGGGCGTAACCGTTCCCACCGAAATCGAAACATTCCAGCCTCCAGTCGACGACTCCTCCACCGTAGATGAGGTAAAAACATCCGGCTCCGAAACAGTCTGAGTAGGCTCAGTCCACCACGTAGTGATGGACGGCAGCTCGGTGGCCGTGGGATACGGCGGCCAGGAGCGCGTAGACGTCGAGTTGGTGCCGAGCAAGGGATGCAGGAAGACAGTGAGGTACTCCGTCGCAGTGGAGGTGTAGGTGGCCGTCTGTCATGGTTTGGGATTAATGTTAGTGCTGCAGGAGGAGGCAGGAGGGGCATGAGAAGGGATCCGCGTACCGCTGCGCTCACTGTGGCTGTTGCGGCGGGGTAGCCGAAGCAGGAGCATACTTCGGCGTACCGTTCGATGTCACAAGGCCAGGCGTACCAGGGGACGCTCTTGCCGGTCGGCTCGGGAGCCGTGGTTGCCCGCTTGGCTAGCGTGGTTGTGCCATTGTACAGAAGCGTGACGGTCGTTGTCGAGACCGTCGTCTCCGTCCTATAGAACATGAGTATGGGCCAAGCAGTACAGGAGTCCATAGCCCCGTTGGAGGACTAGAGTCTCAATAACGTACACATGTCCGAATGTGGTCGTGTCCGTCATGTAGCTGGAGCAATCCTCGCGTGCCAGCGTCTGGAAAACGGCCGGACGGCTGGTTCCGGTCACGGCGAATCCGCAATTGTCCTCATCCTGACAACTAGGAAGACGGACTTGGCGCTGGTCGAGGGAGCCATAGGCTGCCTGGGCGAAAAAAAGGGACAAGCAAACGAGTGACTGCATTTTTGCTACCTGAACCTAGGGTTCAGAAAAGAGTGAATGAAGGTGAGGAAAGAGGTCGTCGCCTTGGAGATCAGACTTGACGTTGAGATGACACTCCTGCTCTTATACCACAGACTGCTCGCCGCTAAGCATCGCGGATCCTGCCTTCATGGCCTTCCTGCTAAGGCCTCTCAATGCAGGAACCCATATGGCCGTGCTCGGTGCCGGCTTAGCAGAGGATGCGAGGAAGGAGGGCGTACCTTGCAGAGGGGGGTGAGGGGCAAGAAATTTGAAGGGCCGCACTAAATGATGAAGGAAATAAGGACACCAAATGCTACACATGATTCAATTGACTGTATTGAAAATAACTGCGATTGATGCATAGAGATTCGGTGTGAAGAAAGATCTAGCAGCAGCGTACCTACACGCAGTTCTGCACCGCGGGGCTGTACAAGGTACCGAGAGATTCCGTACAAGCGATGCTGTGCCACCTGTGCGCAACGCCACGGGGCTTGGGTTGACAATCTCTTGTGCGCCAAACCGTCGCGCAAGCTCTCGAAATGGGGAACTTACAATGAGCTTGTCCTTCCAGGCAGGCCCATTGATGCGGAGACGGCGACAACTCCTGCTCCTGGGCTGCAGCGTGCATCCTGCGAACATCTGGCCCGTCGTTATGTCACGAATACTAACCTAGTTTTCAAGGTAATGGATGCCAAGCAGTCCCACATGCCAACGCCATCTGAAACACGCAGCTTCAATGGCAGCAAGGTAGTCCGATCGCATCGTGGAGGCGAAGGACAGGCGACCATTGACAAACGAACATTGTCGGAGATGTAGTACAAGGTCTCAAAGTCAAATGTGCCTTGCAGTGGGATAGCCGTAGGCACACCAGATTAGCGTGAATCGGTAGCACAAGGGTCCTTATCCAACCTCTGAACAGCTAAAGAATTTTGGGAGTCATCCGATAATTTTTCGCGTTGGAGCACCCTTACTTCTCATAGCCAAGTCATATGGCGCGTGAGGCCGATGACACGGCGTGTCTGGGCGAAACCAAAAGTCGCGTACAAGGGATTGTTCCAAACCTTCAATTTTCAGTTCCCTCACCGTCACCTGTATCTGGATATGCGTCGCGCGGCTCTCGTCACGTCGAAGCACTAGTCTACGAGCTGATCTGACATGCGTCGTGCATTAAACCGTCGGGTCCGGGTTTATGCTGGGGGTAGAAAGCTCGCAAAGAGCCCGCCCTGCACCACTGAGTAAATGATCATCAGCCGCAAAATCCAGTTAGATTTGTGCTTCGGCGCGATCGCCAAAGAATGCAGTTGGCTCTTCTCATTGAGGCCCCCTGCAATGGCCATATACCACAACGGGTATCCAGAGGAGACTCTATTGATGATCTGGACGTGAAAGTTGGTCAAGGCCAGCGCAGCGAGCGCGAGCTGAGGAAGTGCGAACAGCAGCATGGCATCGTGCGGAAGAGCCGCCGTCGGCTGACCTTTGTCAGATGCATATATTTTTCTGCTATCCATCAGCAAGCTGAGAGGCGTCGAAGTCGCTGACACGTACCTCAGTATGACTCGCTGCGCAGATGTCAGCAACGCCCACAATGTTGGCGCCGCCAAAAGGAAGAGCGGCACATTGGATAGCGTCCAGTATCGCAAAAAACCGACATTCCTGTGCGCAGTCAGTATGTGACGACTAGCTAGAGAAGGTTTCTCTCACCAGTATTGCTCCTGGACCCACGTGTAGATGCTAGGCGGGATCCTCGAGCACCACGGGCGCCCCGATTCCTACACGAAGTTAATTTGACGGATACGGGTTAGAGTGGCGGCAGCTCACCTCTAAGCAGTATCGCTGATACGCTATCCATTGAGGCAGGATGAAGCCGACGCCTACCAAGCAGCCAGCAAGGATGGTACAGATGATCCTCCTGAATGCCGTCGCTAGCGCCTCGCCCCGTGAAATGGACGCCAGATGGGAAATAAGACCATATGCGAAAATGATACCGTTCAGCAGACCGTTACCGCGAAGGACGGCGGCCAGCCCAAATGAGGCGCCAGAAGCGAGCATACTCAAACAGTACATTACGGCCGACGTCCCATCAAACGTCGTGGTATAGCAGTAGCAGAGCATACCAACAAAACTGAGCAGGGAGAAGAGAGATTCGGCATAAGGCGCCATAAGAAACAGACCGGCAGGGGATAGCACGTGGAGCAATGCAGTCAGAAAAGCCGTCTTGCGCTCACTCGGGTCTGGCAGCATGAGGGTCACTAGGCGGTACAGGACCAGCACGGAGAGCAAATGAGCGACATTGGCGATGCAGATACCCGACAAAGCTTGCGCAGTCAAACCGCCTTCAGAAGTCGGGAGAGCTGGCACGACAGTCAGCGGGAGCAGTGGCGGCCAATGTTATAGCATACCGGCAGCCAGTTTGGCCATCAGACGCGCGAAGCCCCAGCTAAAGGCCCATTCTTGCTCGTAGACGTGGCCCCGCTGTGCCAGCTTGGCAAAGTAGATGGCGTCCCAGCGGGTCAGCTTGACGGCAAGGCGGGATCCGAGCGAGGCCGAAAGGGGGATGGAACTGGCGGCATCTGTGCCAAACAACAATATAGTCGAGGTGTCGTAGCCTGGCCCGGGACTGGACAGAGCAACGACAAACAGGACGATCTTCCAAATGGCGCAGAGGACAGCCAGTGAGGCGAAAGGGCTGGCCAGCGGGCGGGAAAGGAGAGCATCGGAGGGCATGATTCGGGGAGGGGTTGCGTGGATTTACGGGGCGCGTGTGATGAGGGATGATGGATCATGGGCGGAACTTGGGGGAATCCGAGGCGTGATGACGAGCGTGTTTCCAAAGTTAGTGCAGGCGGCGCAACGGGAAGGACGGGAGCGGCGGCCGGCGGGCGGGAGCTCGAAACGCCGATTCGCCGATGGAACATAACGCGCACGTGACTGCCATCTACATGTTGGCGTTGGCTTGTGTGTTTCGTGTGGCTGCTGCCGGTCCTGCCGTCAACCAACTGGCCTTCCCTCGGCCTTTTTTGCAGCCGCTTGTCATTCGAGATCTAGCCCTCCCCTGGACGCCTCCCCCCCACTCGCCAGCTGGCCATGGTGAAACACCCATTATGCTTTTTTTTCTCTCACACACACTCTTTTCCTTCCTGCTGCCTGGCGCGCGGGCGGCTGGGGGGGCGGGCGGCGGCGGACCAGGAATGCGCACGTGTGTTGGCAGAAAAGGATGGATTGTCGCGAGGCAGACGAGCCCCACACCCAAGCAGCGCGCGGGCTTACGTGCGAGCTGACGGAGACGGCCTCATTGCTGTTCCGACTTCCATGGGAGCATCAAAGCTGGCTGGCTTACCTCAGGAACCCCCAAGCTTCCGCCCGGCTCCGTTTACAAAGGGCTTGGTCGCAGGGTCGGGCTACACAAAGACTAGAGAGCTGGACAAAAGCCAACAGCCCCTCCCCCCTCCCTCTCCCCACTCACGGCCCCCTCTTGTACACACACACCCTCTACATAGCCACCGAACCCCCAACGTCCAAACACGCCGAAACGTGATCTCCACGCCTCGGACCCTGGTACCCAAGCGCATGATCTGCGCCAACCGTCATTGCAGGTACGAGTACGACGGCCCTCGACCAGGAACAACACAACAAAACCCGGAAGCCCACTGTTCCGGCCAGCATCATAGGCTCCGCCGACCGTCTGGGCGATGAGCAGTCGTCGCAGGAGGCGCCTGCTGCCAGTCCCTCGAGCACCATGTTTTTCGCCGCGGCCCAGCACGGCCACGAGTTCTCATCGCGCACGGCCAGTCCTGTCAATGCTACGCAATCTCCTGCCCCTCGCTCCCCTCTAAGCGTCCTCTCCTCCGCTGCGAGACAGCAACGTCCTTTGGCTTCACCTCTACAGTCCGCCGTCAAGAGACAGAGCTCGGATGGTAGCGTGAAGCCTCGCAAGTCCATCATGTTCGCCCTTCCTCCAGAAACCACCATTCCATCGCGGCCCGGCTCTATCCGCAGCGCCACCACCACCTCGACCGCCGACGGTCCCTCTCGAAAGCGATCCTCGCGCCCCAAGACGATTTACAGCCTCGCCCACCCGCCTCCCCGCGTCGGGCCTCTGCACCTGCGTCCCCGCGTCCTGCTGCAGCTGCACCAGTCGTCCGCCCATTCCCGTCCGAAACCCGCTTACGAAGCTCTCCCCTCGACCACCTTTGCCCCGAGGCTGAAGCGAAAGTTTCACCGTGTTTTCAGACACCAGGAACGCCTCGGGCCCGACGACGTCGTCATCGCCAAGGCCGGCCAATATGACCTGGAGGAGCCCGAGGAGAGCGACGATGACCTGGAGTCTAGAGAAGTTGTTGGGGTTGTGTGCGCGAACCTGAAGGAGGAAAAGACGGAAGTGTGCATGGACGACGACTCGGTCTGGTATGTGACACACATGCCCAACGGCGGCTACGAATTCGTTGCGACCGACGAGCATGGATTGCAGACCAAGGCACGATGGGTGCCAAGGCTGCAGGTCAATAGACGCGTATCGGCCAACTTTGCGCAGAACGGTGGCCAGAAGACGTCAGCACCAACCGAGGACCGCAAGTTCAACTTCAGCACCATCACCCCTGGAAGCCGCCGGCACCCTGTTATTGCTTCGATGACGCGCGCCAGCATCGACGTCTGGGACAAATATATCATGCCCTCGCCAAGCCTCTACTCGCCTCTGCCCTCGCCCGCCGGCAGCGAGAACGGTGACGCATCCGACGATGCCAAGCCAACGCCGACGATGACGACGGACGAGCAGCTCCGGAAGCTCATCATTGTCACGGGCATCTGGGTCGCGTTCCGCGAAAATTGGTCACCTGTTTTCAACTACAACCGCCAACGCCATCACCGCGACTCGCTCCGCGACAGCATCCGCGACAGCATCACCTCGAGCCCCTGTCCGTCGCCGCTGCCGTTCTCGCCCGTGCGGACGGTGAGTATGGCCAGCATCAAGAACATCACGACGCCCTCGCGATCGAGCAGCCCGGGCATCCCCGATGCGCCGAGCCAGCACCACCACCGCCACGTTTCGCGGCTGCTTCACCGGAACAACGCGCTCGCGATGCTGAGCGGCGATCCTGGGCGCAGCGGGTCGTCCGAGACGATCCACTCAGCGCCCACGTCGGATCCGAAGACGCGGACGCGGGCGCACAGCACGGGCACGGCCTTCATGCGGCGCGCGCATAGCAGGCGCAACCCCAAGCGCCACAGCAGCGGCATCGACATTCGCGATGGCCCGCCCCGCACCCCGGAGATCCTGCTGAATGACGACGACCTCGTCCTCCCCGCCATCGAGGACCACAAGTTCTCGGGCGAGTACGCGTCGACATGCGGGTCGAGCGACGGCGAGGACGACGACGACTCCTCCAACTCGGACAACGACACGCCGCGCCAGTCGCGCCACCAGCCGTATACGGTCCACTCGTCGAAGCCGGCGGCGCCGCGCCCCAAGGCCCAGTCGGCCTTCTACGCCCGGCCCCCGACGCGCGAGGCTCAGGCCGCGGCGCCCGGTGCGCGCGACAGCCCCAGCGGGCCTGAGGGCCTGGGTCTGCGCCTGGACGAGGCCGACAAGCGCAAGTCGGCGCCGGCGCCGACGAGCAACCCTGCGCCAGTAATTACTGCTGGTGCTGAGCGGGGGGCTGTGGATGAGAAGGCTGGCGCTGGTGCGTGCGTGGGCTTTGGCAACGACGCGGAGAAAGACATGAAGAAAGAGAAGGAGAAGAAGGGGGGCGTGCGCGGCTTGCTGCGCCGGTTTAGGAGCAAGCGCCAAAAGAGGTGAATTGCGGGCGATTTGTACGACAACGGAAGACGATGGTGGTGCGCAGTGCGCGATAAGCATGCAAGCGTGTTTGTCTTGGTTGTTTGGTCCCATTGCCAGGTGCCGGGAGCCAGGTGCCGGGGTGCGAGTGCGAGCATGCGTGCGTGCGTGAGTGCATGCGTGCGTGCGCGTGTGCGGCCAGCCCAGTGACGCTCTGGCGCAGGCCGAAAGACGAGAACCAGGAAAAAAAATAAAGGAAAAAAAAAGTCAAATCCACTGTTGGCAACTTGGCTGCCCAGCCCGAGAGGCTGGCCCGGAGGGCCCCGGATGCGCGCGACCCGGGAAGCGAAAACCACGGAGTACGGCTACGGAGATACCCTGGGTGGAGGTAGTGGAGGATTGATGCGCGCATGCATGCGTGCTTGCATGCAGCCTGCTGGAAGGCGCGAGACGAGACGAGACGAGACGAGTCCACGGCCGCGGGATCTGATCGATCGGATCTGAGAAGCGCGCACGCACCGTGTGTGCACGGCACCACTGCTCTCTCAATCGCATTCTTTCTTCTTTCGTTCCTTCATCCATTCGTCGCTATCCAGCATCTCAGCTCGGCTCATGGACCTGCGCTATCGAGTCCTACCCACGAACGTAGGAGTACGGACGGACGGACCCACGGCAGCGGCCCCCGCCGCCGCGTCGAGCCACGCGCGCGCGCGCTCACCGCTTCGGAAGCTGGAGATGCTTATGCAGCATGCTGCCTAAGGCGCCGCTGTTGCTGTCGCTGTTGGTTGTCCGTCGTCTGTTCGTCGTTGTTGTCCACGGTCGGTCGGTCGACTGATGTCAGCGCATGCTGTGGGCTGATGATGTTGGAATGTTGGATTATTGGATTGTTGGATTGTTGGACTATTGGATCGTCTGATGGTGGCTGAGCTCGCTTGCTTGCTTGCTGGGGTCCGCTGGCCACTCAGTATGGGCCCGCTCCGTCACCATTTCCGTCATTTTCGATTCGGTTTATCGTTGTCGTTATCGGTACTGCGTTTTTGGTCTTTGTCTTTTAGGACAGCGGCGTTATTTTTTCTTGTTCTTTTCTTCTTTCGTTGTTCTTTTCACAAACGGGTAAAAGCGCGGCGTTTGGCTGCGGCGTGGTGGGCTGCGCGGAAAACTTAGATGGGTGCTGGTGCTGGTAATGGTGGCGTTTTTCTTGCTTCTTTCCTTTTTTTTTTTTTTTTTTTCTTCTTCTTCACTTCTTCTTGTTCTTTCTTCTATCTCTGCCCGCCGTTACAACCGGCTTGCGGCTTTCGCGCTGCGCTGCTGCTGGATATCCATCCATCTATCTATCCGTGTCCCTTCCCAGGGACGGAGTTTCTCTCTGCTCATGTTTGGTGTTGTTGTTTTTCTTCTTCTTCTTGTTCTTTTTCTTTTTCTTCCTCAGCTACGGCGCGGGAACACGGGCGTTGCGGCTTTTGCGCCGGACGCGGTCTTGGCTGCGAGCTTGGGCTTGGGCTTGATTTGGGCTTGGTTTGATTTGATTTGGTAGGAGGGGTGGCGAGGTGGGCTGCTTGCTCATGCTGTACGCAGCTAGCGGGCTGTGGTTTGGGTTTTTTGGTTTTGGGGTTGGTGGCTCGATGGTCTGTTTGTGTATCTGTTCAAAATCCATCTGTTTGTCTGTCTCGATGCGGCTTTGCCTCTTTCCCCATGGTGGTGTGTATGTAGTATATTCTATTATCTTAGCACCGAATACCCCACTCCCAATCCCAATCCCCTTCCTCTTCTTTCTTCTTCTCCTTCGTCTTCGACATCCGTTGCCCCCGTCTCCGTTCTTAGCCAGATACCTAGATGTGGGAGCAACCTCAAGGACATGGACATACACATGGACATACACAAGCCCAAAACAGCCACCAGCCACCAGCCAACAGCCAACAGCCAACAGCCAACAGCCAACAGCAACCAGCAACCAGCAACCTACCGAACGAAGTAGGCAGGAGCGGCCTCCTGCATGTCATGCCATCCCAATCAAACAAACACGACAACCAAACAGCACATCCCCCGCATCGCATCCCTTCGGCTCGCCTCGGCTCGTCTTAGCTCAGATGGACCAGCTTGCCCGCGCGTGCGTGCGTGCGTCATGTGCTACAACACGGCAGGACGGCACAACGGCACAACGGCAACGGGACGCGGGGATCTGAGCGGCCCGGTGTAGGGTGTGCGGTGTGTGTAGGGTGTGTGTGTGGGGGGGGCTGACTGCATGTGTGGGGGAACACTACCCATGTACATACTACGTAGCAAGGAGCGGGGGAGGGGAGAGGATAGAGACGGAGACGGAGATGGGGATGGAGAAACGGGTTGGTGTTTTTGTAATACTTTTTGCTTTTCTTTAGGTTGGGGTTGGCGATGGATGATGGATATCCGCATTGGGTCGGCCGACTGGCTTTTCCGGCCACGACGACGACGACGACGACGACGACCGAGACACGACCACCACCAACGACGGCTTCTCGGCGTGGGCCGCCGCTACTGCACGCTGCGCTGCACTGCACGCTGCACGCTGCATGCACGATCCTTCTGCAGTCGTGCGGTCGCCGGTCGGCTTACTTACATAACTACATACAGGTCGACCCGTCTTGGGTCTGCTTACATGCACGCCCGTCAGGCCGTCCAATCACTCTCACGCATCCCATACTGTAGCCAAGGCATACGTACCGTAGTTAGCGAAGCCAAGTCAAGACGCAATCCGCACCCGCGCTGACCCGAGCCGCCGCCTCCCGGCCGGGCTCGCCGGCCGCTGAGCCGACCAACGACCCGGCATGCGTGCACAATATGCATGCGTATGCGTAAACAGGCACAGTACATACAAGGCGCGCCGCCGCCATGTTTCACAGTGTCAGCTGCGCGTTTCGCCTTTGCGCGTAGGCGTGCGTGCTTCGGCTTTGTCGTGAGCGAGCGCGTGCCTGTGCCGGTGCCGATTTGTGACCGCTCGGATGCCGGGCGTTCCGGCGTTCCGGCGCGTTAATGTGCCCGGCTGTGGAGGTGCTTCCGCTTGTGACTTCCATGTGACTTGTGTGGCTTCCTTCGACCGAGCCCGGATGTCGGATCTGGGTCGGAGGTCCGAGGGCGGGTACGTGTGGGTTGATCGAGGGCCGAGCGGATTGGGTTAGGGTTCGTGCTGTGGGGGTGAGGTGTGAGGTCATGGTTGGTATTGTGATGGTGGTGGTGATGGACTGGTGGGTACGTAGGTAGGTGGGTGAGGCGGCGTTGTGGTAGGCTGGTGTGTGGTTGTTGGAGAGTCGACTGTGTTGGTTGCGTGCTTGAGGTCTGGCCTTGGTAAGCGGTTGTCTCCTAGCAAGCTAGATTGTTTGCGGCGGGCACGGTAAGGGCTGGGCCTGTCTGTGCTGCGTCAGGTTATGAGCTGAGTATGCTCGCTATGTCGTTTCTTCTTGCTCTTGTTTCATAGTGGTTCCTTTTTTCCTATCTTTCTTTACTTTATTTCCACTTCACTCACGCAGAGCGAAACAGTCAAGCATGCGCAATCTGCCACATTCTCCCGTCTACTTCTCTCACTAAGCACAAAGACGCAGTCTAACACATCCATAGCCGTCTCTTCTCATCCCGTTTCAGATTCTTTCCGCTTGCCGCTCACTCCCTTATCCTCCATTTACGAAAGTCCGCCACTTGCCAAGCCAACAAGCCGCTCCCATCCATACAAAAACCGTACGACAAAACCAACGTAAAAGCGACGGACAAACCCGCGGATTTACAAGCAGAGGAAGAGGACACAGGCGTAGCTGGCTCACCGCGAGCACTTATCAGCCAGATCCAGACATCGAAAGGGAAACAGCAATCTCGTTTCCTCCAGCACACGTGCGGCGAGAACTCCACTCCAAAACAACTGTAACTTGCACACCAGATTACCCCACCGAACCTAGATACAGGGATCCAGCAAACCGACTCGATTACCCAGAATCTGGCGCTAGAGCTGCGGTCACGGAGTATCAAACACGGAACCGTTGTTTGCTTGCTGAATAGGCTCGGCCCGGAACTCGATTCACTACTGCTTTTCTAGCAGTGAGGGCGTTGGGACGTCACTGATTAATGCCACCTGAAGATGGATGTGTAGGCGTGTGCTCAGAGCTTGTGAAGTCTATCTGTTTGTCGCTGCTGTGCGAGATAGACAGACTGCATGCCTTGTATGCGGCAAGACATACCTCTCAACACCATACCTATACTCCTGGTTATCAACAATGTGCCTTGCTGCGGTAACGACTGTTCCTGCTTCTGTGTTGTTTTTGCCTCGAGGCTGCCAGGACGCGCTGGATAATGCTTTTGTGTCCATCGGGCTGGATAGATCTTCTTACTATGGCGTATACACGGCGCTGCTTTAGGATTGTACAGCCGCTGTCCTAGAAGCTTCACCATGCCTCTATTTATCTGTTTAAAGTACCAGTCTGAAGAGCAAGAGCGACGCGACTTTCCGGGTACATATCAAGCGGCGCGGACCCATTCCGCCGGGCCGAGGTCTACCTCTCACGTACCTATGTATAGGTAACTCCCACACTACTCTACACTCAACCTCCACCCGCACCCCCAAAAAACACCAAACAAAAAAAGCGCTACAATGGCCCTCCCCCACCGCCCAGCGCAGACCACGCTGCGCCTCCCGCGCGCCCTCCCCCTCGCCCGCCGCCACTTCCACACCTCTCCCCGCCCCCGCACCCAACACAGCCTCCCCGCGTCCTACTACCGCGGCGGCACCTCCCGCGCCATCATGTTCTCCCGCGCCGACCTACCCGCCTCCCGCGCAGCCTGGAGCCCCATCTTCCTCGGCGCACTCGGCTCGCCCGACCCGCAGCACGGGCGCCAGCTCGACGGGCTGGGCGGCGGCATCTCCTCGCTGTCAAAAGTCTGCGTGGTTGGCGCGAGCGAGCGCGCAGACGCGGACGTCGAGTTTACGTTTGTGGCCGTCGGGGTCAGGGATGCGGAAGTGGACTTCTCGAGTAATTGCGGCAATATGCTGGCGGCGGTGGGGCCGTTTGCTGTTGATAGGGGGATTGTGCATGTCGGTGAGGGGGACGGGGAGACGGTGGTTAGGATTTTTAATACTAATACGGGGAAGATAATTAAGGCGAGGTTTGCGGTTGAGGGCGGGGAGGCGGTTGCGCGCGGCGGGTTTGCGATCGATGGGGTCAGCGGGACGGGGGCGAAGGTCGAGCTGGCGTTTCTGGATCCCGCGTAGGTGTTGCTTACATTCCATTCTGCCTTTCATACCTATCTTCCTCTGCCGCGTCTTAGGTTTCCCTCCATCTCACCTCCTCACACAGGGGATCCAAAACCGGCGCCCTCCTCCCCACCTCCTCCCCCACAACGACCCTCGACACCAACGTCCCCGCCACCTGCATCGACGTCGGCAACCCCTGCGTCTTCGTCCCGGCCGCGGCGCTCGGCCTCCCGACCCCGCTGCCCCTCCCAGACGCCATCGACGCCGACCCCGCCCTCCTCGCCCGTCTCGAGCGCATCCGTCGCCAAGCAGGCAAGGCCATGCGCCTCTGCGCCTCCGCGGCCGACTGCCCGGCCTCAGTGCCCAAGATCGCGGTCGTCAGCCCGGCGCCGCAGCCTAGCGACGTGGATCTAGTAGTGCGCGCGCTGTCGGTCGGGCAGCCGCACCGCGCGGTGCCGATCACGGTTGCGCTGGCCCTGGCCGCGGCCAGCAGGATTGAGGGGACGGTCGTGAGTGACGTTGTGCCGGCGAAGAGGGTTGATGAGTGCGGCGTCACGGTGGGGCATCCCTCGGGCAGGCTGCTTGTTACGGCGAGGTTTGGTAAGGATGGCGCCGTGAGTGAGGCGACGGTTTTTAGGACTGCGAGGAGGCTGATGATGGGGACGGTGTTTTGGAAGTAGGTAGGAGTGACGGGGGTGCGTTGGTGCGGTTGCTGTTGCTTGTGGCTGGGTGTGCTGCTGTGCTGTGCTGTGCTAGCTTGAGACTTTGGGTTGCTTGAGATGGGAACGAACGGCTTGTGTTGGCTGCGGTGGTGTGGCGTTTGGAGCAAGGCGACGAAGAGGAAGAAGAAGAGGGGGAAGGATGAGCTAGATAAGACTAAGAAGCACCCCGGTCGGTTCCAAGTTGGTGCAAACGGGCCAGGCGGTACGAAGAGCTGAGAGGAAGAATTTTTCCTAGGCCGTGGACGATATGCTACAAAGCATCTTTGCGGCTTGCTTGACGAATACAGTAAATAGCATTTGCGAAGGGGAGGCTGTGGATGCTGGGTCATTGCGGGAAGCACCTAAAGCACTAGCTGACTTTCTGCAGACACTTGTCAGTTTTCAGTGATATGGACATACCGGCTAGGGATATAGTGTAGCAAAGCAATAAGTAAAGCCGTCCAAAATACAATAACTGGGGGGTTGTTGGAGAGGCAGAGCTTAGTGCGAGGGCTTAGCAACACAGCTGCTTCTTTGCTCGTACACTCACACACACATTCTCTCTTTCTCTCTCTATCTCTCTCTCTTCACTTCTGCCTCGTTGCCTGTCAAATCTATCGATCAATGATTTTTTTTACTTGAGCAAGCCGCAGGCAACAGGCATGATCAGTAAATCGCGTCGCGTCGCGTCACGCGCGTGACAGAACGCAGGCCTCACCTTCAGCATTCGGCTATATCCATCCTGGCCAGGCTACCTCGCACGACATCTCTTCGTATTCGCGCTTTAGCCGCCCATATCCATCGCCTATTTAATCCGCGTCGACTCCATCCGATTACGGGACCAGCACCGTCAAAGACCGTCTCACCAATGCTGATCACGACAATCGCTCTCCTCGCCGGCGCAAGCACCGCTTCAGCCGAGACTAGCTTGAGCTTCTTCTTCCCCAAAACGAAGCTTTGGTGGGGAAACCCAGCAAAGGCAGAAGTGTCCGTCATCGCAGTCGACGGCAACCGCACCACAGTCGAGTTCTCGTGCATCGACTCTACATCTTCCGCCCCCGATCCCGCTTCGGGGATTGCTCGTCGCAAACTGCCCGGCGTCTCTACCTTTGACGAAAAGTGCTTCATCGACCCCTACACCTCCCAGATCGTAACGCTCGCGCCTGGCTACTACGAGGCGGAAAGGACGATCAGGTTTGATCAGGATGAGCCTGGAACTGGCATATGCACTTCTTCGGGCAAAGACGGTGTGTGCACGCAAATATACAGTGCAAGGGACCATTTTAGCAGCGTTTGCGAAAGGTTGTTATTGGTAAGAGGGCCTCATTTCCTGTTGTCACTAAGATCCAACAAGGAAAAAACGCAACACATCGGGCTAAAGACAATTTGTACACCCGTCTTTCTCGAAGCGACTCGCAGAGAAAGGGAACTACCTAGACACATACGAGCACAATGCTGACAATGCATGTCGTGCCTCAACAGAACTCGCCAAAATCCGAGGATTACAACGAGATGTCGAGCTGCATCAGCTCCTTCTCGGCCTCGATCGGCAGCGCGCAGGTAAGAGAGTACGGGCACAAGGACCTCCCGCTTGACTCGATGACGACCTGGGCGGTACGCATCACGGGCGGAGCCGAGAAGCTGGCCGCTGCCGCTACTGCTACTACTACTACCAGCACTGCGGAAGCCGGCGCGGCCGCGTCGACGGCGGGGGGGACGACGGCGTCGGCTACTGGCGGCGCGTCAGCTTCTGCTTCTGCTTCCTCGGCCTCGGCTACCTCGCCAACGGATGCCGCATCGGGAGCTGCAGTCTCGAGCACAGAGGCTGCTGGCGCGGCGCAAGATACGGGAAATGCTGCCCCGGCAGTACGTGCGGGCGTGGCGCAGGTGGCTGTGGCGGGGTTGGTGATGGCGGCGATGGCACTCTGACGGAATATACACCGGAATCTTCACAGTCGTCCATGGCAGAGGCAGCTTTGCTGTGATGGGGACGTGTTCGCCGTCGTCTTGTGGGTATGGAGACGGACTGGGTGCGGCGAGATGCTCGGATGGCTAGGGTTTTGGACCAGTCGGACGCCCTCGTATGGAAACGGTGTCTATGCTTGATGAAGGAGTTACCTATACATGTATTAGGGCGTTGGACAAAAAAGGTTACGAAGTCGACTTTCGCATGTAAGTGCCTGTATGCTCCAGTTGGACAAGGTAGGTTGAGGCAGTATTATGCTGTAATTACTTTTTCTCTTTCTGTTTCTTTTTGTGACGATCGCCAGCTCAGTGGCAGTCTCTATGTGCGGAAGCAATGCCTTCGCTTCCAGAAGTGTTAGATTTCAACATTTTTAATAGAAAGGTAAGATTACCTGAGTTTATTGATTTGTTAACATACGCAGGGCATCAAATGTCATTTCTAAAACCAGAGCGGGGTCCAACAAGAAGCAAGCAGCCTCGTTGCAGCTTCAGCTCCATCACCATCGTTAGTCTCACTACAATCTACAATGGAAGGCATCGGTCTCGGACCCTGGCACTTCTACTCCGTAGACGCCGTATAGCAGCAGCGTCTTAACAGTTTCTCAGACGAAAGCTTCCGCTTACCCTTTTACAAGAACGCTTCTGAATGCGAACATGAGTATGAGCGCCAGAACTTCTGCACCGGGCGTCCATCGCCCCACCGCGCACTTCCTGAAGCTGGACAACCATCTCCGCCGCATGCCCCCATCTGCATACCACGACACTGCTCCGTTCTTAGAAGAAAGTATCTACGCCCCCGGCAAAGGCATGGGCCTTGCTTGCTCGCTAGACTCCCGCCCAGCCCTGCCGCAGCGGATGTTCCCGCTTCCGTCCAAAAACTTAAACCTAGACCTAAGAGACTCAGGTGGCTGGGTCGCGCTGTGGAACTGCCTTGTGGAAGTAGTTGGCCAGCCCGGTTCCTGCGTCCCAAAGTGCGGGATTCTTTGATCTAGTAGCAGCGTAGTGTCCCTAAGAATTCGCTCGAGAGTTTGGTATACTTGGAGGCTATGCAGGATACGGCCTGGGCCAACATGTACGCCATATCCGGGCTGGAGAGTTGAGGAGTTACTGGTTGCCTGAAAGGTTTGAACTCGGTTTGTATAACGATGCACTAGAATGCGGTAGGTGTTGTGCGGGCGTCACGGTGGAGGCGGGAGCGTTGCGAAAGTGCGCAGTGAACGGTAGGTGGTTGGATCCTGATCGGCGATCACGAAGACTATCCTGCATGCTGCCGTTAGCATGTCTACAATCGGCTGAAAAGGCACGGGACTGTGCTACCAAGCATGCTCCTACCCGTCGTTTGTTGCACGCTCGTGTGGTGCAAATATCCTCGTGTGCTCTACCGCCAGCCCGGGCATTGCAGCCATCCTCTCTGCGAGGCAGCGCCTGCTCATAGATAAAACGCCACTCTGCCTACCGTCATTCCTTACTACGAGCACATAAACAAACCCTTCACGAAAACACGGCTCCTGCCTTACTTGTCCGAACCCGATATATACGACGAAATGGCCACCGCAGAAGCCAACGACCCCGTAAACGCGTGCTGGTTGAGGACGGGAATACGAAGTGATGATGGGACTAGCTACATATACAAAGTAAAAGACTGCGGGAAAACGAGTTGCAAATCTTCTGTTGAGTATAAAGCTAAATGACCGGTAGGTGCGCAACCACGATATGTAAAATGTAAAGTAACTGATCAATCTTAGCTCTCCTTCTAAGACGAGACGACACGGGCGCGTTAGCTTCGCCCAGGCATGGACGAAGTATTTACCTCCTTGTCTAAGGCGGTTATACTCATGGAAGGGGAAAAGAGAGTGTCTCATTACCAATTTACAAACTATCGCCCAAAAAATGCCGTATCTTCAAGCTATAAACGTTATTCTCCGGTTCATCAAACACAAACTCTTCATCTATCTAGTCCATCGTCCCCTATTAACGCCCAATTTCTCGCCCCAGCGCGTGCAGAATCAAAGTCAATAACAACAGGCACATCGCCATTCAGCACGACATTACACGGATTCCGATCGCAATGCACGAAGCCCAAGCCATAGCCATGAAGCTGCCGCATCTCCTCCCCGATCTAATCTGCGCTAACCAGCGCTCCGCACCAAACACTCGCGCGTCTGCGACCCCCTACGCCAGCGCTATCTCGTGTTTAGTCAAGCAGAGCCCGCTGGTCCTACTATCTGCGCTAACGACGCACCCGTGGTATGCAGCGATGTTCGGGTGCGGCTGCTTCGAAAGACCTCGTATACCTCGGCCTCGGACAGCACGACATTGCTGCTGTTGATGCTGCTGCTGGCATCGCGGTCTCCGTAACCAAGCAGACTGCGCCGCTTCACGCAGCAAGACTCGGGCAACGGCGAGAACGCTCGCGTGAAGATGGGGGAAATGGTGGCTGTATGTGTGAGGAGGGGATGGCGACGGTGTCGAGGCTTTGTGGGTTACGTTTGTCTCTGGCGTGGCTTCGGTTTTTGCTTGTCGCGTAGTAGTACTGGTTTTGGGCGTCTTGGAGCATGGTTTTGGTGTAGAGAATGTGAAGGCTCCGTCTTTTGAGACGAAGGCGCGGTGTCTGAGATGCTTTTCATGACGCGTATCAGTGGTTGGCGGAATTCGCCCGGTGTATTGCTGGCGCAGATTGAGGCCGAGCTCGGCTTGGTCGGGTGAGGGGGAGGGGTTTTGTTGCTTTATCGTGCATGAGGGGGGTTTAAACAAAGAAGCCTCTGCTTCGGCTATTTGAGCCCCCTCCTGCGAGTATACCTTTACGTGTTGTCCAACCTGCACTTGCGGTGTGACACCAAAAAGCACGGAGTAGCTAGGTTCAAGAGATCACAGTACGTGATGACAGGCGATAAGGCATGCATGTATAACTTCTTAGAAAGCCAAATTCAGGCTGACTTATAAAAAGTAGCTACCTAGTGTGGTTTAATGTGTTGAAAGAACGTGGTATGTGCTTGTAATAACCAGGGATACAACAATGATGCCTGTGGTGTGGCCGAGGTATAGATTAATCAATAAATCATCACTGATAGCTATTTTAAACACAATTGCCTGAAAAAGCATGTAGGCTCGTTTTAAAGAATACCATATATAAACCCAGCTCCAGATGGACTAAGGAGCAATTTCAGAATAATGCTATTGTATTTGTGGGTTTGCCTTAGCGGACTTCACTGATTGAATGCTTGTAGCTTTGGGAGCTCCACAGCTTCAAACGCAAACAACAGCAGGGCAATAGAAGACGGCTTGCACCTTAACTTTCCAGTGGAGCAAAAGATAAAATATAAAAACATACAACAGCTGGGATTCGCTAGTGGTCACCCACCTAACTACTAATCAACCGGTTCATAGCTTAAATTTGGCAGAGCGAACGGGATGCCTTGTTCTCTATGACCTATGGTCGTATGTACTAGAAGTTTGAAGCTGTTTAGATTATGAGGTGGTGCTGAACGGTGGTGTTGAAGTTGGCTCTTACGCACACGCTATCACCGCACCATTACCCGGAACACGATTGAGCCTTTGTCCTTTGTTGTCGGTGTCATTACAACACTACCAAACATTTTCAGAAAGAAATCAAACTCAACTACAACCTTGCCTGAAGCCAAATATTCCCAAAACCAAGTGCTACCCCGTTACCGCTCGCTCGCAGAGCTCCAACAGCAATTTCACCAAACTACCGATACAGCCGGTCCCAGTCCAACCTTCCTCCACTCCCAGCAAACTCAGTATCACTGAACGCAATCTTCCCAACCGCTTCATCGGGCTGCACGTCCTGGATCCTGACCCACTTGTCCTTCAAGAGCTTGGCTCTGGTAACACCGTCGTCTCCGGTACCGCCTTCTGGAACGTCGATGCAGGCAGAGTCTCTGGTCAAGGCTGAGATGTTTCCGAGGAAATCTGGTGCCCGAATGCGGCTTTTGAGGTAGATGGTGTAGAGCGCGCAGAGTGTCATGAGGCTAGTAGCAATGGCGTAGAGCGCGAACCAGCGGCGGTGAAGCTTGTAGTGTGGCTCGGAGTAGTAAGACCATTCGCCTGTCGTATTGGCAAATGTCTGCTCACCGAAAGCGGTTCTGTCTGTCGACATTTCAAGCCCACCATTACCCGTTGTTATGGAGGTGTTCATGGAAAGCCTAACGACAGTGTTGAAGATGAGACCTAGTCGTGCTTGAAAAACCTCCATGGGTAGTGTGCTGTAATTGCCTTCATCCCACCACATAAATTGCCTCCGGGATGCTGAAGGGTTGACAAGGTATTTTTCTAATAGGCCTAGGGCTACTGGATGGTAAGACGGCGCTAGCCAGGGTATTGTTTCGGCAAATATGCCCCTGTTTGGGCCCACAGTGGTTAAAACAGTGTTGTCGGATGCGATTGGCAGGTCTTTTGAATGACGGACTCTCTTGGAAGTGCAAGAGATGGGCCCCGTGCTCACTGCTCTGCTACAGAAGATATCGGTATCGACATAGGTATTGCTACCAGTACAGGTTGTAAGTTCGTCATAACTTGTGCCGAAAACAAGTGTGTTGTATACACTCAAGGCGCCATGATTAGTGTTTGTTGTTGCTTCGCTCTTCACTACGTCCATAAAGATGCTGACAATTTGCTGACTACCAAAACCTTGTGATTCGGATAGAATGTAATCATACGGACTGGTTATGTTGAAACGTTTCTGTTTTTCCGATCTGGTGCTACGTCGGAAACGTGTATCGTGGTTTGATTTGAGCCATGTGGTCATATTCGTCCAGGATGTGCACTAAGGTTTCTTATCAATATGAGCTAAAGTTAGGGGTTGTAAGTAAACCTACTTTGAATGCAGTGTAGAATGTAGACAATTGTAAAGTCATGTTTCCAACTACACCCATAGGTAGTCCGCGAATGGGAACACCTATAAGAGACTCATATGGTGGCACCTCTTCCGTAGGCACATTCACCCACTGGTAAAGATCACTTCTGTTGTATCCTGGGAGGAGTTGGAGAAAGGGTATTCTAACGTTTCCCCATACGTCGGTTTGTATGGCCTTTATTGTTTCCGCTTTACCGCCGAGCTGTGCAATGGTATTTTCGAAATCAGGATCTGACCCATTCGAGAATAATGGAAGTGAGCTAAATGACGAAAGAGCCGTTCCAAACAATGCACGTACTTGACCAAACAGAGAGTTTGTGCCTGAAGGTCCTACCCAGGGGGATTGGGAAAACGAAGTAATGTTGTTAACCGGATGGTAAATCAGGGCATGATTTGTCTTTTCCACGGACCTTTCGAGTGATATGGATCGTAGTATAGCTTGACCCCCAACGGGGCTTAGTGTCCACAAGGCAATCAACAAAACTGCCCAAAGGCCCCATAGCCTAAGGCTGTAGCAGCTTTTGATCGTGCTAACCAGCGTTTGGCTGCCCATTAGCATCTCCAGCATCTAATACGTTGTATTAGCCAGGTATAGCCTACAGGTCTGTGAGATAAGAGGCTAACCCCAAGGCTTGTGCCACGTTCTGCTTTATCTAAAGCAAAGACTTGAATCATCGGTCCAATAACCGCCGCGAATGCAATAGGCCAAATAGTTGATGCTACTCTGGCGGCTTGCGTGACAACGTCTCTCGCGTCTGAGTGTGTCTTCCCGCGAATATAAAGGACGGACACACCCAAAGCTGACACAGAGTTGGTAAGCGTGAGCTTTGTATGTAAGCAGTCTTCCATAACATTACCGATAAAGCAAAGCGGAATTAGTAGAAGTAGTATGTGCGGTATAAGGCGCTTTGTGAGGGACTGTGCAGAGTCTCGTAGTGGCCTTGGGCTCAGTGCACGTTTAGAGATTCGGGACACCGGTCTCTCAGAGGCTTCTTTGTTTTCTGTTAGATATACTTAGATCGGAAGGATAAAGCAGGAATAAGATGGCATCTCATTTACCAACTTTGGTCGGCTCTAAGAGCGGTCGCACGGACGAAACTTCTCCTGGTTCTTGGGCTAATGGGTGCATTTCGATGGAGGCCATCATTCTGACTACCTCAGTGCGAGGTGACAGTCTAGCTGTTGCCTGGATAAAGCTGAAATAGGGAAAATAATATTAGGATGACAGTCGCAAGGCTCCCAATCTGGGGAGGCGGGGTTATTTAAGTACGGGTTTGCCACAGAAGCGCCTGACAAGGCTGAAAGGATAAAAATTGGCAGCCATAAAAAGGCACGCAATAAACTAAGCATCGGACAGTAAGCGATAAGAGCCTGCAAGGCTGAGAATCGGACACTTTTTCTACAACCTATCAGTTCTCAGCTGCACCCCTAAGCTTATGCAGGACGATAATCTCAAAGTAGCACCACAGGAGCATGTAAATCGTCTAAAACAGCATGCGAAAAAAAAAAAAAAAAAAAAAAAAAAAAAAAAAACAAAAAAAAAAACTTAATAGGCAACAACCAAATACAGGGAAGAAGTTCTACATACAATGCTTACGTGATTCATTGCCTACTCCTGCACCTACTACTACACCTACATACCGCCACAACAACCCGCAACCCACTACCCACATGCATTCACTCACTCACTCACACTAAAAATACAAATAAACCTAGCGCTACGAAATACAAGAATACAAGAATACAAGGCAAGGCACGCAAGAAAGGAAGAAAGAAAGAAAGAAAAAAAGGAAGGAAAAAGAAAAAAGCCAGCTAGCGCGCCGAGGAAAATGGGCGCTCAGGCGGCGCGCGAGGTCCCGCTGCGGTAGTACGACGCGGGCAGGCTGTGTTGGGTTGGTGCTATGGTTTTGGGGCGTACCCGGAGACGTCCTCTATCTGCAATTCAAGACATAAGGTCAACCACGACATCTCTAAATCCAAAATAGCTATTCTAGCAAACGACAGACAGACAAATAAAAATAAACAAGCGAATAAACAACTCTATAACCCACCACATCAGCACCTTACCACACAACCACAACTACAGCTTCTCCTCCCTCCCCTCGTACCTCTCCTCCCTCCACGCCCCATAAACGCGATAAACATCCGTCTCAAACACGCGGTTCAAATCCGAGCAAACCTTATCCCCCGGCGGCGTGACCTGCGCGGCGTAGATGCCCGCCAAGCCCGCCGTCGGATCAACCCACCACACCAGATTCGGCAGCCCGCCCCAGGACATGGTGAGTGGTCTGCGTCCTTCCACAGGACCACCCAGCAATCCCACATCATCCCCCTCGACCGCATCTAGCGTCAACAGCCCCCCAAGCCCCCAGTCCTTGCGCGTCGGGTCCCCCGGCGTGCCCGCGAAAATCCGATTGAGCTGCTCGTCGCCCAGCTGCTGCCCCAGCGCCGCACGACTCCCCTCCCCGAGCTGCGGCGAAAACGCCTCCGCCCACAGCTCCGCCCCAATCCCCAGCCGCGCATCGCGGGCCAGCACCGCCCGCAGCACCTTGATGTACTCGGTCGCGGGCGCGAAGATGCCGTGCCCGCCCATCAGCTCCGTCGCCCCCGTGTACATCATATCGCCCAGATCATTCACCCCCAACCTGCCATCCGGGCCGCGCTCCGCCGTCCCCGCCAGCCGCGCGCCCAACTCCGGCCGTCGCCCCAGGTCAAATGTCATGTCCCTTACGCCCAGCGGGCCCCAGACATTCGCCTGTAAGTAGGCCTCTAGATCCTGCCCGCCGTTCGCCCGCTCGACCAGCTTGCCCGCCCAGTCGATGCTGGGCCCGTACGCGAAGCCGGTCCCGGGCTCGAACACCACCGGCGTCGCGAAGCGCTCGACGACGGAGCCGAGCTTTGGGCCGACGGGCTCGCCCCGGCTGCGCCGCCACGCCGCTACCCTCCCGCTCATGATGTCGTACGCCAGGCCCGACGTGTGCGTTAGCAGGTGCCGCAGCGTCATGGGCGTGGTGCTCTTGCGCAGGACGGGGGCGCCCGTCGCGTCGTCGATGCTGGTGATGATGTCCGGGGCGGCGAGCTCGGGGAGGAGCGGCGCGACGGGCTCGTCGAGCTTGACCTGCCCCCGCGAAACGCATTGCAGCGCCGCGAGCGTGGTCATGAGTTTCGTGCACGACGCGATCCACATGATGGCCGTGGGGGCGATGGGCGTGCGCGCGGGGTCCGCGATGTCGTGCACCCCGAACGTCTTTTCGTAGCGGAATGTGCCTGGGCCGGAGGGTTAGCGGTGCTGTCTGTTGGTGTCTGTTGGGTGTGCTTGAGTGCTTACCGGACGCATTGGTAGCCAGTAGGACGGCATGGGGGATCTCGCCCTTGGCGCAAGCTTGCTCGAAGCGCTCGTCGAGGGTGGTGGCGGGGGGCATGGTGGGTGGATGGACGTTGGTGGCTGATTGACCAAGTTGGAGAGAAGTTTGTTTATTACTGATAGAGGAGGGGGTGTAGGAAGAGTAGGAAGAGAGAGAGAGAGAGAGAGACAAAGAGTATCACTAGAAAACCTCCGCAGCGAACAGACTCGATAGACAAACAAACCCCGAGCAGGATACGTACTCCGTCCACCGGAAATAAGTCGACCTAGCGACGTCGCTCGGCCGCCCCGGCTGACGTGATAAACGACTCGTCCCAAAAGTAACTACCTAAAAGCCCACGGACGGGGCACCGAGGCTCCCGCGCCCGTTGCCGAGCCGCGCCGCACGTCCAACTACCGACAACCCACCGCCATGCGTACCAAGCTCCCGCACCACCTGCTACCGCTATAGGCAGCTGCTCCGCCTCCGCCTCCGCGGACAGCGCGTCTACGGTCTGTGTGTCTCTGCGGATTACCTACCACCTATGTCCGCATCCGTATTGTAGTACATACCACGTGGGCAGAAGACGTATGTGGAAGTAGCTAAAGACGGACGAATTGTAGTCGGGGGATTACATAGTCCTGCTGATCAGTGATCACCTACCTCCCCTGCCCGCGCGTCCAAGGGCGAATCATCCGCACGCACACGCACCGCATGACAGGATCAGAGTGTGCTATACCAGCGCAATCCAGAGCAATCCAGACCAGAGCAGACCAGCCATGTAAGAAGCCAAACCGTGCCATTCGTATCGACGCACACGAGCGCGCAAGCTCACCCACTCGCTCGCCCGCTCGCGCACACGTGCATTTCATCAAAAGGCCACAAAGAGCGGAGAGAACGAGCCTAGCTACCTAGCAAGTAGCGACGTAGCAAAATACCCACCCCACAACCCCCGCAACCTCAACGTGTAGCAGTAGTAGTAGCAGCAGTAGTGGCGTGTGTCGCGAGAACCCCCTCAGAGAGAGGACCCTAAACGGGAAAAAAGCAAAAGCAAAAAGCAGAGAGTGGAATATCCCCACCACCGATCGAAGCAATCAATACCTAACACACCGACAAACAAGCATAAACACAAACACCCATTTCCGCCCTGTCTCGCCAGCCGCGCGAGTTCGTGCATGCGTGCGCGCGTTCGTGTCGTCTTGCCCGCCCATTAAAATCTCGTCCAACGCCGCAATGGAAAATAAAAAAAAGGGGGGGTATTTCGCCCATGGTGAAAGAAAGATTCAGAACCGAACCGAACCGGACCGAACGAGCCGGAAGCAAAGAACGTGAGAACGACGGCAGCAGGAGGAGGAAGAAGAAGAAGAAGAAGAAGAAGAAGAAGAAGAAGAAGAGTGAGAAAAAGAGAGAGCAAGAGAGAGTTAGATAGACACAGAGAGCAAAAGGTCAGGCAAGCGACACGTCAAAGAGCGAATCGCGCCGTTCGAGCGCCTGCTGAGAAGGCAGCGCTGGCAACAACGGTAGCGCCGGCGCATCCAGCGAACCCTCCCACTGCTCCAGCACGTCGCCCTCCCCGCCCCTCAAGCGCACGCCGCCGACCCTGAGGAATCTCGCTCTCGTTGTCGGCCGCCGCGCGCGGATGAGGGGGACGCGATTGCCCATGGGCGTCGGGCGAGCCGCCACCGCAACGTCGCCGCCGTACACGCTCGTTCTCTTTCGCGCATCTTCTTCGTTTTCGTCCGCAACTCCTAACACCAAATCAATCATCAACACTCGTTCGCCCCACCAATGTGTTAGTCGATCTTGGCGGCTGCGAGTTTACCAGCCGGATTGTTTAGCACGTTGCTGAAGCGCATGTTGGTGCGCTTGTATTTGCTGTGCTTGCGCAGCCGCTTGCGCGCCACCATGACTGGGACTGATGATTTGGTGACGAGGTAGTTGCTGAAGGAGCCGAGGAGGACACTGGGAAATGTTAGCCTTGGGACTTGGGGCGAGGCGACAAGTATAACTGAGATGTCAATAGATATCCGGGAAACATACCCCTTCAATGCGCTTCTGCCCCTTGATCCGAGAATGACGAGTGTGGGGTCCAGGAAATCAGTCTACAAAGCCAGACGTCAGCAACAATCCCATGCATCTGTAAAGTTCAATCACTCACCACTTCCGTAATCATGTGCTTCGGACTCTTGCAGTGAAACACCTCAATCACGGCCCTAACCTGCAACTTCGTCTTGCGCAGCAGGCTCACGATGCGCTCGCTCACCTCCTCTGCCGCATGCCACCGCTGTCTCTCCGCCTTCTGCATGCTCGAAAAGTCCGGCTTCTCCGCCGACTGCGTCAGTTCCAAAATGTCCCCCGATTGCATGCTCTTCTGCAGAGGCGACGGGCCTATGCTGCGCTGCCGGGACTTGGACTTGGACCTTCCGTCGTCGACGATCATGCGTTGGTCATTGGAGAGAGTCCTGACCAGCTTGGCAGTGTCGCGCATCATCTTGGCACCTTCACCGATGCCAACACCACCGTTCCCGCCTCCACTCATCTCACCGCCGGTTCCTACCTCTTCGTCCACGGCGTAGACGGCAAGGAGCGTGTCGCCGTCGCGGAGGACGGTACCAATGGTCCATTCGAGCGCATAGGCCGCTTCTTCGGAAAGATCGGTGGCGACGAGGTACATGCGCTGACGGCGCAAGCCGTGCTCCGCTTCGCGTTGCATCTCGGCGTAGTTGCCGCGGATGATCTGGCGGATGCAGCGATGAGCTTCTGGGGTGGAGGTTATGGGGGACATGGTGAGCGCCATGCGTTGGGCGCGCTTGATCTCAGAAATATCGGCTTCTGTGTCGGAAGTCACCGGAGTGGAAACACCAGAAGCGCCGCCTTGATCGAAACTGGTGGTGGGATGCACACCCTTTTTCTTGTTCTGCGCCATTTTCTCGCCGTTGGGGCCGGTGACTGTCACGGTTGGCTCAAGCAGCGAGCGGACCTTGTAATCTGCAGACAAACGCTTACCTGTGACGGTCAGGTTAGCACCGGTGAAGTCAGACCTCGTCACTCACGATCGTCTTCTGTAGCCGCAAGTAAGCTCTTTGGCAGTTTCTCACCGATGTCGCTGTCTGCTTGGGAGCCGCGTCGGCGCCTTCGGCCGCGCGAGCCCTCCTCGTCCCCAGAGCTAGCGTCCGACTCGAATTCTTCGTCGCTGCTCTCGAGGGCTTCCTCGTCGTCGTCGTCGTCGGCGTAGTAGTCCTTCTCTAGGCGGACGCCACCACCTGGCGCAGAGGTCTCTCCCTTTGTCGGATCCGAGCCCTTCCTCCTTGGTAAATTAGCCAGGCTGCCACCGGAACGCAAAAGAGCCGCATCGGACAATCTTCTGTAGGCGTTGTTGAGGTCGATTGATTTTCCAGATTCTGTGACATACTTTCGCGGGTCTGACATCAAGTTGAGCGTGTTGCTGTTGAGTCTGCTTCCTCCGGGGGATACGGATCGGGCGGCCAGGCGGGCTGAGGGCGATTGCGACTTGGACATGCCTAGAGCGTCTGCGGTTGAGTTATGCCGTCCTGGAAGAGCACCGCCGTAGACGCTGGACATCGCACCTTTTTTCTTCTTCTTTCCGCCCTGGGTGACGCGTTTGGGGAGGGCGTGAGCTTCGATGGAGGGCAGCATGTCAAACTGATAGGAGCTCTCGATGTCGCGACCGCGCGGGCTAGCAGCTCTCCTGGCGTTTTGTTCTTCCATCTTCTTCTGCTCCGAAGGCAGGATGAACTTTGCCGTATGCTTGTCGCCAATGTCGAGCAAGCTGCGCACAGGGGCGCCGCCGGGGCTGCTGGCGCGCGAGTTCGCGTCGCGACTCCGATTGATTCCGCTCAGAATGTCCATGACGGCCCTCCGCTCCTCCTCCATGGCCGATTCGAGAGACATGATCGCGTCGGGAAGGCGGGTTGTGGTATTCGGGGGGTCGTCGGGGCGTGGTGGGTGTATGTAGCTCGAGGGTGAGCGTCGTCGGGGTGTAGGCGACCAAGGGCGGGTTGCGGTCGAGAAGTTTGGGCAGCGGCGCGATGGCCGACAGGGATGTGAGCTCTGAAGGTGCGGGCGATGATGCCGTTCGTCGAGAGCCGCGAGCGGTCAGAGTCAGCAGCCGCGGGAAGGCCCGAATGTGGGGGAAAGATGGGTCCAAGGCGTCGGAAGGCTTGAGTCCAGACGAAGTTCTTTTCCACGTCGCAGTTCGACAGCGGGCTCCTGCACTGTTCGGTTGGCAGTAAGGCGGCGAAGAGAGAGATGATGGGCACGATGGGAAGACGAGGCGAGAGATCGTTGGGAGAAGGAGGAGGGTACGAGGTAGGCAGAGTACCTAAGCGGTTACCGGCACCGTGGGAACACGACGATATATCTCCATGTATCATCGCCAAGCTGTCTTCATGCACTGGCAACGAGCTTCGCCCTGAAACACTGCGCTCGACCTTGGCGCCAAGGCCCGCCCGCGTGGACGCGAGGGAGTTCCGTCGCTCTCCTCATCGGCCAGCGCGGTTGGCGGATGGCGGACTGCCCCGGTTTGCATGTGCTTCCTGCTGCTCGCGGCCACCCACGTCATCGCAGCTCAACTCTATCGAACCTCCGCTCGTTCTGCTCCGTCTCTGCTCCGTACGTGCAGATGCCTCCGCCCAACCCCACATCGACTCCCCCGCATCTTGCCCCAGCTTTACACTTGCCGAGCGTGGGGCCAGCCGCCGGTATCGCTCAAGAGGTATGAGGTCAATTGCCGTCTGGTTAAATGCGAGTCACCAGAGCGGCGAGACAATGACGGGTATAAAACGCGGCTGTGGTCGCTGACGGTAGGTGCGAGCTTTCGTTAAGCTTCAGTCATGAGTCTCTTCGTCTTTCTGGGCTATAGCACTGTCGCGCTCGCGCAACAAGTCTACATACCCGCTCAAGGGCCCGTGTCCAGGCCTCAGTGTAATGCGGAGAGCAGCTATGCACACGCCACTCCTACCTATACCTTCGGAGAATTTTCCTTCACCCAGACAGAGACTGTGCGGACCGCTACCCCTCTCCCGTCTCCGACAACTACTGCCACCTACGCGCTTCCTTATGAGTCGCTGAGCCATCTTGTTTCCTCTATGACCACGACAACATGGGGCAACTGGGACCCCAATGCCACTGTAAAGGCCACCGACACCGCTGATCCTTATGGGAATGCTGCCTGGTCTGCCATCTGGGAGCGAGCGAACCTCCCAAACTTCACCTACAGAGGTCTCTACAGTTCCACGGTCTCCCCGACGCCTGTTCCCACTAGCGAGCTGGTTTATCCACCTCCAGACTACTTTGGCCCTCAAGACTGCTACTATTTCCCTGAAGACTTCATGTTCGGCGTGGCAGGCTCGGCCTCTCAGATCGAAGGAGCCATCGCGGACGAAGGGCGGACTCCAGTCTTGATGGAAACCTTCAGCTCGGGTGCACGCGACTATGTCGCAAACGAGAACTATTACCTGTACAAGCAAGACATTGAGCGTCTGGCTTCCATAGGTGTCAAGTACTACTCGTTTTCCATACCGTGGACACGCATCATGCCCTTTGTTTTTGAGGGGACGCCGATCAACAAACACGGCATTGACCACTACGACGATCTGATCAACTTTGTCCTGGAAAAAGGCATGGTGCCAACAGTCACTCTTCTCCACTTTGACACTCCCCTTCAATTTTACGGAAACATGAGTGAAGCGGGCGGTAAAGGTTTGATCGGCAACACCGACGGGGCCTACGGAAATGAGACCTTTGAGGACGCGTTCGTCAACTATGGCAAGATCGTCATGACGCATTACGCCGACAGGGTACCCGTGTGGTTCACGTTCAACGAGCCCATCCTGTACTCCAGCAACGGCAAGAGCATCAACGGAGTCGTCAAGGCTCACGCCCGGCTGTATCATTTTTATCACGACGTTATCAACGGCACCGGCAAGGTAGGTTTGAAGTTCAACGACAACTTTGGCGTGCCGCAAGACCCGCAAGATGCTTCACATGTGGAGGCGGCGAATCATTTCAACTCGTTCCAGATAGGCACGTTTGCCAACCCGATCAATCTGGGCATCGATTACCCTGAGTCCTTCAAGCAGACGATCCCGGACTACGTACCATTGACCGCGGAGGATCTGGCCTACATCAACGGAACAGCTGGTACATGGCACTCACTCTGAACCGCTCTGCAACCAGACACCCCACCACTGACACAACGCAGACTTCGTAGGCCTCGACCCATACACCGCGACAGTCATCACGCCTCCCCCCAACGGCATCGCCGCCTGCGCAGCCAACACCTCAGATCCGCTCTTCCCGTACTGCGTGCAGCAGCTCACAAACACGACGACCGGCTGGGCGATTGGCTACCGCAGCCAGTCGTACGCGTACATCACGCCGACGTACCTGCGCACCTACCTGAACTGGGTGTGGAACACGTTCCGCTCGCCAGTGCTGATCACCGAGTTCGGGTTCCCGGTCTTCGACGAGGCGCAGCGCGAGCTGCCGGACCAGCTGTTCGACTCGCCGCGCAGCGCGTACTACCAGAGCTTTATGAGCGAGGTGCTGAAGAGCATTTGGGAGGATGGCGTGCATGTGCTTGGGGCGTTTGCTTGGTGAGTAAGGCACTGTGTGTGTGTTGGGGGGGTGAAGGGTGATGGCTTTGCTGACGTCAATTGACTGACTCTTACTCTATCTAGGTCTTTTGCCGATAACTGGGAGTTCGGCGACTATGACTCGCATTTTGGCATCCAGACGGTGAATCGCACGACGCAGCAGCGCCGGTACAAGAAGAGCTTTTTTGACTTGGTGGATTTTGTGCAGGCGCGGACGGCCCCGGGTCGGGGGTGAGTGGGGCTGTGGGAAGCGGTTGTTGTGGCGGGCGTCTTTGTTGGAGGAGATGAAATGGAAAGGGAGTTTATGTAGCGTAACCCCGCTATAAATGTAATTCATGATTAATGTCATTGCCTTTTTTTTTTTCCTTTTTCGGATTGCTCGGCTGTTGAGGACGATGTCGATGTTGTTGAGTGAGTCATGTTGTACATACAGTAGGTTGAGCCGCATTAAGTAAGCGGGGCATCTAGAGTATGTTGGACATCTACCCCACCTTCCGAACCTACATATATATATGACATTGACAGCCCCGCGCTGTTGCATGCTCCTAATAACCTACTACCTTAACAAGCTCGCTCTCAAATTGTTTCCAAACCTTTAATCTATCATTATTTCCACACAACAACAACCCCCCTCCACAACACCCCCACCCACCCTCACCATGGCCTCCACAAACCTCCAAGCCCACTACCCCTGGACAACCACAACCCCCTACACCCAAACCAAACCCCTCCTCGTCTCAGCCCCCATGCACACGCTCGCCTCCCCCGCCCTCGCCCTCGCCGTCTCCGCCGCCGCTGGCATCGGCTTCATCGGCCCCGCGACCTCGCCCGCTGCGTGTGTTGCTAGACTCGAGGACGCGGAGGCGCGGCTGGCTACGGACGCCGCTTACGCAGACATCCGACCCGACGCCCGCGCGCAGTATAAGCTCCCCCTAGGCATGGGCTTCCTGCTCTGGGACACAGACCTCGGCTCCGCAGAACAGGCCGTCACCCGCTTCCGCCCCGCAGCAGCATGGCTCTTCGCGCCTCGCGGGGAAGCCGAAGGCGCGGACCCTATCGCAGAGCTGCGGCGCTGGTCCCGCGCCCTCCGCGCCGCGGCGCCGGGGATCCGCGTCTGGGTGCAGGTCGGGACGGTCAGGGAAGCTACTGCGCTGGCGTCTGCGACCGTGCCGGCAGAGGAGCGGCCGGACGTGCTCGTCCTACAGGGCACGGAGGCGGGCGGGCACGGAAGGGCTGTCGACGGCGCGCCGCTGAGCGTGCTTTTGCCTGAGGCGGGCGACGCGGTACGCGCGTCTGGCACGGGCGTTGCCGTCGCTGCGGCGGGCGGGGTCGCCGATGGCCGTGGCGTGCTGGCCGCGCTGGCGCTGGGCGCGCAGGCGGTCGTGATGGGAACGGCGTTCCTGGCCTCGCGCGAAGCGGACGTGCCAGAGGGGTACCGGGCGGCGGTTCTTACGGCGCGCGAGGGCGGGACCGGCACGGTGCGCACGCTGCTGTATAACCACTTGCGGGGTGTGTATGGCTGGCCGGCGGCGTATAGTCCACGGGTCTTGGTCAATCGCAGCTGGGTCGAGGCTGAGCGCGAGGGGGTGGAGTTTGAGGAGGTCAAGCGCAGGCATGATGAGTTGAGGGCGAAGGGGGGAGCGGACTCGGAGGAGGCGTGGGGGAGGGAGGGGCGGTTGGGCGTTTATGCTGGGATGGGGGTGGGGCTGGTGGGGGAGGTTAGGGGCGCGGGCGAGATTGTGGTGGCTGTAAGGGAGGAGGCGAGGACGTTGGCGAGGGGGTTGGTGGAGGAATTGGCGTAGTGTGGCGGGGTTAGGGAGGTGGGTGGCTTGTTTGTAGATTGGGCTTTGGGGTTTGCTTGCAAAATTTTTGAGTATACGGCTTGTACTGTACATAGGGCTTGTAGTAGCGAAGGTGTTTGTTTTGAGAAAGTTTGTACGGTGTCGAGCAACCTAAGCAGCCTCTTAGCTATGCACACAATGCTAGAGATAGGCCCTAATCTAAGTTGGTTTGAGTCGATATGGACGTCTGGCTTATAGCATACCCGGAAAAAGTCAGGTATACATAATCACATTCCCAAAAGACGAAGCATTAACATCTATTAAGACACGAAGAGCTTACCTCTCTATCCAACAATCCCTGAACAGAGAAACCGCTTGACATAGATGCTTGCATAGAACAACAATCCCAGCCACACAAATACAAGCCACGCCCTACAGCCCTGGACTACACTACTAAGCGCTCCGGTAGATCGTAATTAGTAAGAGCTGAGAGCTCGTTCAGCGGCTTGCGAGGAGGGAAGATTTACTTCCTAAGGGACCTGCTAGATGATGGGACACTATACGCAGGAATAGTTGTCCTGGTGGGTATATTTTTCGCTTGCGGGTTTTGTTTGGAGTGATAAATTGGTTTTAATAGTGAGTGAGGGTTTGTTCTACGGTGTTAGGTTCTGAGAATTAAGACTAGGGTATGGTTAGAAGGAGCGGTAGGAGCTTAGTTGACGCCTTGTTAGAAGTATTATATCACGGGACATTGAACCACGCATAAAAGCATCTTGTATGTTTACAGTGCAAGCGTGGACTCGCTGGACTTTTTCAATTACGAAATCTTGACGACTTGCAGTTACCTGATTAAGTGAAGAATAATATATATTCTACTTATATCTTATGCATAGACTGTGCGCGATATGCGGAGGCATGGCTTCGGCTTTGTTGGTCCGTTTTTTATTTGCGTGTAGAAGTGTTTTTCTGTCGGAAATAGAAGGGGTGGGTAAATTTATCTTTGGGCGCTTTGTATACAATATGTTACGTAGGGTGGTTAAAATACCTGTATAGGGCGGCCAGATTATCCGGAGTATAAAGCTAAGCATTAAAGAAATGTTTCAGCAGGTTACACGTTCGATGATAGCGTTAACAGTAGTACTGAACGCGGTGGCGCCAATTCTACGCAGCGGTGCGAGGGAGTGGTGGATGTTTTCATTTATCTACGTACGAGCCCTACACGAGGCTGTGCTACAGTAGCGTTTGTCTCTTATCTCAACAAATAAGAGGGGAAAGAGAGTTTTATAGGCTGATCTCACTGGCGAATGAATGATTCACTTTTGGTGTAACAGTACTTTAGGCAGCAGGAAGTTGGGCAGCAATCGATGCGGGGTCGAGGGCATCTTATACTACCATATCCCCCCAGTGTCTTCGTTGTTCTCCATCACAAACTTCTGAACCTACAACCGTCAACCATCCGGACAGTTTTAGTTCAATTTATACTTTGCTATCGTCATGTCCTCTGAACACACGTCCTCCTACAATACCCCTCCTACGAGCCAAGAAAACTCTTCCACCTCGACTGAGTCCGACGGCAACACTTTGTGCGATCTCTGCTTGCAGGCCCTGACACTCGATGATTTACGTGCCGGAGGATCCGTACAGTCAAGTTCCGATGGAGCAGCAACCGCTCTTGATTTTTCCGGCTTTGCAACTAATGAGTGGAGTTTATGGTTTGGGTTGGGTGGCCTTTGTGGGACCTACATGGAAGTACCGAATCCCCAGCATGGGGACAAAGATGAACATGGGTGGAAATGGGGCACTCGATATTGTTTCGCAGACATGGGACCTGAACGCATTGCTACGCTTCCATTTCTGTCCGAACTTTCAAGTGCCGCTTCCAACGCATGTCCGTTTTGTCATAGACTTAACGTGATATTCTATAATTCTTATAGAGAAAAAACTTGGTGGCAAAATTCGGATCTACACCTCTGTTTCCGAATCCGATACATATGGAGAGGATATCGACGTTCCAGACAAGGAGAGCCAACGTATTCTCTCGAATGCCTAGATACTATCGTCCGCCATCCTGGGTGTGCCAAGGACACTGTAGACGTGTTTAAATTCACCATTGGAGCTTGGCCAGGTAGCAATCATAAGTGCACTGTCTTTGGCTTCCGCTGATTTCTCTACAGGACGATGCCGAGATTGGCTGAACATCCGAAGATATCCATTGGATACCACAGGAGTAGTATCGGAGCGTAATATCACGTTAATGAACAAATGGATTGATGACTGCGCTGCGAATCATGACCGTTGCAAGACTAGAGACAGGCGATCCACGGTCTTGCCCACACGCTTATTGGATATCGACACTGGCACAGATGTTAACCACTTGAGACTTGTCGACAATACTGAAGCTCTCTCACGGAATATGCTAGGTGGGAAGTTAAAATACGCTACGCTGAGCTACTGTTGGGGATCCTCGGTATCTCTGAAGACGACATCAGCATCGCTGGCTACACACAAAGAACGGATTTCTGTGCATGCTATGCCAAATGTCTTCCAGGACGCAATGTTCGTCGTCCGAAAGCTTGGAATCAGATATCTTTGGATCGATGCATTATGCATCGTCCAAGATAATCCAGCTGACTGGGAGCAAGAGTCAACAAAGATGAGCGACATTTTTTATAATTCGTTTATCACGGCTTGCGCAGCTGCAAGCACCGGAAGCGATGAGTCTTTTCTTCAGAGGCCGACAAAACCTTCTTTTACTGTTCCCTTTCGGTCCATTCTAAAGCCTGATATCTCTGGGGAATACTCAATTTTCCTAGACCCCAGACCAATAATGCGAATAGAAGCAGACCTTGACTTCCGTAGTTCCAGATGGAACAGTCGCGCATGGGTATGGCAGGAGCAGACAATGGCCACTAGATCGCTCATATTTGGAAAGTATATGGTACAGATGCGATGTCAAGCATGCATCCAGACAGAAGACGGAGACCATCTGTGGCCAGAGGAAAATCTCGATAGTGACCTACTGGATAACCAGCATTGGAATTATGCAGTATGGGACTATTCAGCGAGGGATATAACTTTTGCTAGCGACAAGTTGCGCGCTATAGCCGGTGTAGCGAGGTTCATCAGCAAAGCAAAGGAAAATGCCGGTCGCAATACAGAGTACCTTGCCGGAATCTGGCTAAACGACAGTTTTTTCGACGAGCTGTGTTGGGCTATTGAGAAGCCAAAAGCCTCATATAAGGAGATGATGGCAGGCTTTGTGGACGAAAACAATTATTGCGCCCCGTCTTGGAGCTGGGCCTCAAGAAGAGACGCCGTAAGCAAAATAGCTCCCAGTGGTTACAGGAAAGAAGTCCGGCTGGTCTGTTACCGTCTTTCCCCAGCCGTGTCTGACCCAATGGTTGCGGTCAAACCAGGATCAAGCATTACGCTCCGAGGTAAGTTGAAGCCAGACCCATCAACTCCATTAGATGGCGCTATAATTGGGCCTATGGAGGAACAGTGGAAACACAAGGACTTTAGTGGGGCTGTCTGTTTTATGGACTGGGAGGAAGACATCTCTGATTCCGAAGAATATGAAATTGAGTACAAGTTCCATTATCTTCCCGCGCTCATAGATGAGGATTGGAGAGCAATCTTTGGCCTTATTTTACTGCCTGTACAAGATACGCAAGAGATCCTTTACCGCCGGGTCGGATTTTTTCACAATAGTGGTAACTACTCGTGGTTAAAAGATTATCCGGAATCGGAATTTATTATTATTTAAACTTTATTATTAGAAGGGTTTACTTTATATCAGATAGTTTGCGCCTTTTGTTGATTATATGAATTCTAGGTGGCTTTTATGTACATATGCAAAGGTATGCGCTCAGCCGATGGAATACGGCTGGTGACGGGAAGAATGCCATCGGTTTAAAAGCAGTCAGTTACGCTTCCGGTGAAGGGATAGCGATATAGATTTTTTATATATGATGGACTGTGTGTACATTTGTACTGTTGGAAAATGATATATTTAAAGGAAATGTACATACGGACATATTAAAGGAAAGTAAAGGAAAGATGCAGACTACACTGGTAGATCAGTCATTCTACACAGCAGTGGCTGCGTATGCTGGCTCTTAATTCTTATGCAAGCTCGCCCGCTCACATAAAACTCCAGCACTCAATGACAGAAATGAACATAACCGCCAAACCTATCCACAGAAAAACACCCACCTCCCACCTTTCCAGCCGCACTTCACCACATCGAGCCATAGTCCGAACAACCTCAACCATACCCCTCTTCTCTAGCTACATCATCTCTTCCCATCTCGCCTCCATACCCATTCCACAAGCATCACCCTCACAACCACTACCACGTCAAGTCCCATCAGCCTTTATTCCCCCCGACACCCTTTTTATTTGCGAGAACTATTCTTCTTCCTCAACCCCCCCGCACTAATCTTGTCCCTAAACGCCTTCACACTCGCGAAAAGTATACTCGACAAATACCACAACGTGCGTCGGCCGCGTCCATGCACACGCGTCGGCGCCCGCGTCAGCGCCCGCGCTAGCAGCTGCTCCCGGAAACGCATGCGCTTCAACTGTACGCTGGGGTCGTTTGGCCACATGGCCCACTGCTTCAGCAGCCGCGATAGAAGCTTACGCATTGCGCGGGCCGTGGGGTGTATACGTGGGGAATTATTGGTTGGGGAATTATCGCGTGGAATTGCTGCGGGGAGTGCCTCGCCGCTGAGCAACGCGTCAAGGCGTTGTTGCCAGCGAGGCTCGGTGGAGTACGGTACGGTATTTGTGCTGTCTGCTTGAGGTTCAGGCTGTTGAGGTGGCGGTGTTGTCTGAGGCTTGGAGGAAGGTGGAGTTTTGGCGGTGCTAGCGGTGGCGTGCGCTATGGAATCTAGCTTTCGGGGCCGTGATGCTGCTGCCTTGCGTACGGAGTGAGGCGAAAGTAACTCCCGATGTGCAAGCTTCGTTTGATGTGGAAGCTTTGTTTGATGTGGAGGTACCTTTTGAGGTGGAAATGCCTCTCGAGGTGAAATTGCCCCTGGGGTTTCATACCAATAGCATAATTTTTCGGACACATACCTTCTGATGCGTGCAGCTTTATATGTTCTTCGAATTTCAGGTGACATCCGGGACTCCGGCGCCCTCGACGATCGTGAAGACTGTTGCAACTGAGAGGCTTCGGGCGATGAAGAGGCCAATGGAACGCTTGATGTTCTCACTGACTGGGAGCCTTCAACAGATTGACGAACATGTGAAGTCTGAGTGACCGGAGAGGGACCAGATTTCGGAGGAGTCGGAGCCTTTGAGGACACAATTGTTCCTGAGAGAGGCGCATTCTGCTTCACTGGAGAACCAGAAAACAAAACTGAAGTGTATTCCGAGCCTGTCCCCAACTGCAGCGTCGACCTCATGTCCTCCGGCTCCGGTCGTGGCAATCCCGGCCAAAATTGATCGCGGAATTTGGTCGATACGATAGACATCGGCGTCTCGTTGGGCCCATACGTTTCGATAATTAATTTCCGTTTGGATATATTGTACCACATCTTGCCATTGCCAGATGGCGCACGCTTCATGATGTCTAGTGTCGTCCGCAGCAGGCCGGTAAACTGTCGCAGTGGGCGATGATGCTTTTCTTCCCATTCTGGGTAATGTTGCTTGGCGTTGCGGATGTAGGTATTGCTGATGACGCCGGGGTCTGTTCCTGGGGAGCCGAAGATGCAATTAGGAATGCGCGAGAGCCAGAGCCGTGCCTCATGCTGGAAGATATACTCTTTATTCATGTTCATCTTGATTTCGGCTAATTTAGAGGCGTCGTATTTGTGACCATATGCATACAGGCGGGCTGTATTAACCTTCAGCTCATTCTCCTCTCCTTCTTTCTCTATCAGCGTAGGAGCGCGACCGATGAGCTTAGAAATTGTCCCGCCCGACGGCTTTTCCCTGGGCATCTCTAAGTATGCGTCCTGTTGGCTCTGGACTATGCAATTCAGGTCACCCAGGGTGTACTGCACAGCACGCATGTGGTTTGTGTCCTTGAGTTCTGGCATTCTCGTCGTCCATTCATCTTCAAATGCCATGCCGTACCAAGTTTTCAGGTCTGCGCCGGGGTAATGATAAAAATCATTAATTTTTTGTGGATGGATGTAGGTGTTAAGTAACAGCGTGTTACCAACCAGAGAAAGATCAATGTTCAAACTCTTTTCCAGCTCTACACCTGCGGCGCATAGGAAGAGCTTTATAAGTATGGAACTTTTTGCGATGATGTCGGTATCTGTAAGGTTGAACGAGGGACGCTCGACGCCGAGGGCGTGGAAAAACGCCGAGTTTACGCCCACCATGTCAACCCTCCTCCTGCGATTTGTTTCGGCAGAAGGTTTTCGTAGTTTATAAGGTTTGGACCGCGGCGTCCATATTGGGGGGCTGCCTGTGATGTTGTGAGTAACTGATAATTGGATGGTCGCTGACAGACAGTCGGCCCTACCTGGCACATAGGTTGATTTGCCGTCTTTCGATGTGTTCCAAGAGCATAGCGTGTTGAGATCGCTGTCAGCGCTGACAACCGGGTGGCCACAATACTCGATTGATTCACTCGTAGGGTCCAATTCTGCCAATATGGTACGGGTACGATTGTTTCTCCAAAATTGGGACCGAGCCTTTCTCATGTATCGTAGCTGAGCCATGAACGAGGCCTCTTGGATGGATCGTGCGTGCGGGGTGGACAGTGCGGCTAGTGCGGAGAAGGAGGGCCATTAATTGCCGACCGGTCGAGGCGTGGGCAATGGGACACGACGGCATGGAAGATCACCGGTGGCGGTAGTGTGGGATGATTCCATGGGCCAAAGGAGATGTAGAATTGGAAGAGGATGGGGGGAGTTTCTGTGGGAAGCTCATTATTCGAATCCTGGGCCCTTTTCACCATCACGTGAAGGGATTGGCCAGTCGGCTGAAAGGTCGCCGGGTGCCGGCAAGAATGGAACCTTGCATCTTTTGAGCTGCTGTGCCGCGTTTCAAGTTGGTTGTGGAAGGTTGTGGCATGATCCGGGCTAGACCTTGTCCTTAGGCACGCGGGTCGGGCCGGGGGGTTGATGCGGGGATCGCCTTTCAGGTAGATTTCCACCTACATAGCCTTCGCCTCCACACACAACTTGCCTCAACAACAACAACAACAACCAGCACCATCGCCGCAATGGAACTACATCTCGCGCCTTACGGCGCGTCCATGGCCATCGGTGAGTCTGATCAGCCCGACAATTTGAGCTGATCGCATACTGACCACTACGATTCGCAGGCCAAGGGTACGTTTCGCTATCGTCGCTGTAGTCCTCCCACGTCTGACGTTCAGCCTCGCAGATACAACTCCTACACGCAAGAGACACGCCTCCGAAATGCCGTAGTCGTTGCAAAAGAACCCCCTGCCCAGGGGAATCTGTCCGACCACCATGTGCACCGATGGCTCAACCACGACCCGGAGACCACGACCGATAGCTATTCCATCATGACGCCTCCGACCGAACAGCCGAATATGAGCGACTGCTATGGGAATATTGATACAAACTTGCAAGAGAATGAGAGCACCGCTGGCCTGACATATGCGCCCTCTCAGCGAGGCTTTGCCAACGAGGGTGGCGACCAGGACTCAGAGCTGGTGAGTGGCGCTGCAGTGTCACTGGTGTTACTTCAAAGCGGACATTTCCGCTGACTTCTCCCCAGGTAACTTCTTACACCTCTCGGTTCGTGCATGAACTGCGGTAAGTGCAGGATAAAGACGCCGGTCTGAAACAAGCAGCTCCAGCTGACCGGAACCCTCCACGTACAGGGAGATTGCTGCAGATCTAAACATCACGGGCGCTGCTGCGATAAGATCTGGTTCTATTCGCCATCCATTATACCCACCATTCGTCGATCTCGATCAGTTCCAAGCAGCCGATGCCAATTACTTCGTCCACGTCAAATCCACTAAGCCGTCAACTCCACCCAAAGGTCCATTTGTCTTCGTGAATCATATCCGTGTTGATGACAAAAACTTCGTAAGAGTTTATGGCGACTGCTTTATCTCCGGTAAAGTCAAAACAAGCCAAACCAGTTTGGTCTCTCCTTACTGACCCATTTAACTAGGATTCCTTGAAGGCACTGAATATAAAATGCTGGTCAGTGTGACTTCACTAAGCAATGACAAGAGGGACGCCGTTCGTGCAGCGTAAGCCTATTCTTAAAAGTCCAAGGAATTTTGAGGCTTATCATATCACTACAGGGCAAGACTCGTAATTGGAAAGCAAACTGTCAAAGATGAGGAAGATGAAAACACACGTGCTGCATGGCAGATACTATCCGAGCACGCGACTGTCTCAATTCGAGGGAATTGGTCCGACAATGAACATACTTATAGTCCTCAAGGTCAATTTACGCAAAACGATATTTTGCTGAAAACAGCAATGAGACCTCCGGCAGCCACAGGACCCCCGAGGAGACTCTACGCCATTCTCACAAAATATGAGACATTGGACAGTTTCCACTTCCACAAGCCAACATACAAGCCAATTCCATACGAAATTGCCATGGACTATACCTACACGCTCCTGGACGCGTATGCGAGTTACAAGAACATATACCAGAAGCTTTCAGCCGAGGTACGGGAAGTCCAGGCGGGCACAAAGATATATGAGCAGCATGGCATGGAAACTACAGAGTCAACGGCTCTCGCACGGATAGATGATGAGCGCATGTTTGCTCCTAGTATCACAGGGGTCGAACTGGCTCGACAGGCATGCCGTGTTCAGATGAGCAAAATCCGCAAAGATGTTGATGCGATTGCTAAAAACCCGATGCTCGCCATGGACGAGAATGTTGCCGTGTACCAGAGCCCTGCGGTCTTTAGCAGTCGTCTTCCAAAGGCCCAGAGCTTGCATAGTACACTCAGAACGGAGAAAATTCAGCCTCGTCGGAGAGTTGATATCGGAGAAACAAAATCTTTAAGAGAAACGTCCGCCGACGCCCAATCCTTAATGTGTGGAATCTGGGATACTCGCGAGGTCCACGACTGGACGGCCCCCGTACCTCGTACATCTTCGGTTGTGCCTTTTGAGCCAGATCCCAGTCAGCCCATCCCAGCCATCATGCTCGGTATGAAACACATCGATACTTGTTATCATGAAGGAAATATGCGTTTCCATGCAAGTGCGGAATCTGTCACGTTTAGAGAGTTTACCATAAGCGTTGACCAGTGGGCTGGATCTAGGTTTTATGGGTAATTAATTCTCTCGTCTGAGACTGATGAACAATGGCTAACGGTCATTGTAGGGGAGAGGTTTCGTGGCTCGGTGTGCCTTCAAAATACTCGAGCTTTGAGACCGGCAAGATCGAATCCCGGGTAATAGGAGCGCGGCAGGTCAAGTTCTCCCGACCTTTTGCGAAGCCTCCAAGCGTGCTGGTGTGGATTAATGGCCTGGATATTAAGGAAACTGGGGGTTTCCAGGTAAGAGCTAGAGCCACGGGTGTCACAACGGAGAGTTTCTCTGTCTCCGTCGACTGTGGGGGCAAATCAAATCTCCGATGGATGTGCCTTTCGTGGCTCGCTTTCTCTGAAGAATCAGGTTGCGTCATGGGTACCTACGGCTTCGAAGGTAACAACCAACAGAAGGAGGTAAAAGGATCGTGCAGCTTTCCAAAGGGAAAGTTTTCGAAGCCGCCTGTGGTTATCGATGCTCTCTGTCGCTTCCATGTTCCAAGCCACATAAACCCTCGCCTTGCTTGCGGTACCTGGGACGTCACTGAAGAAGGCTTCAACTGGTGCACGTCTTCATGGGGTGATAGTAGGGTTCTTGCTGCGACTTTGCAGTGGATAGCAATTCCATCGGAGTAAGCAGGTTTGGGATATTCTGGCAAATCTTTGAACCCTGTACTACTATTATAGCTAGGATAGATCAACGAAGGAATCACTGGTATAAGTCTCAGGACTTGATGCCATTCGCGTCAGTAAAGCCGGTGAAAACATCAGGATCAATTTTCAATTCCATTCACATGCGGAAGAGCAAGACGGGACTCCAATTAGACTTTAGTTTAGCTCTTTTCTCGCACCAAACCGCAAATCCCCCACATGATCACCCCTATCCCAAAAAGATGCCGCTCCCGCTCCTGCGGATCTGATTGGTCGCCACACGCCACCGCCACTCACGGCGCCACAGCTCACGCTACGTCACGACCTCTCAAGCCGCACTTAAATCGTCACCACCAACCACATCAAGGTGTCTGTCTGATAGTCAAACACCACAATACCACGGCAACAACAAGCACAATGTCTCTAGCGCAAGAATTCTCGTCCTGGCGCACCCCGGAAGCCAAGCCAATGGACCCGGTCCCCGAAATCGGCTCTACGGCGCCATCGACAGACAAGCTGGGGATTCCCGGTGCGGACGGCCGGTCAACAGTCGTGACGTTCCTGCGGCATTGCGGGTGCCCATGTAAGTGCTTTGCTGCTGCCCTCGTGCGCGCACACCACATACACGTGACACAGCTAACGCGCCTCCACAGTCGCAGAAAAGACGTTTCTCTCCATGCGCGCGACCGCCGCCTCGCACCCCTCGATCCGCTTCGTCGCCGTCTCGCACAGCGACGCCGCCGCCACAGACAAATGGCTCGGCGCGCTCGGGGGGCCGGGCACGGGCGACGCCGCTGTAACCGTCCTGTCCGACCCTGACCGCACCCTCTTCGCCCGCTGGGGCCTTGGCGTCTCGTCGTTCTGGCATGTCCTTTCTCCGTGGGCCCTCTGGGCTGTGTATCGTCTGGGCGCGGACGAGGGGATTTGGAATCGACCTACTGAGAGCGGGAATCGCTGGCAGACGGCCGGGAGCTTTGCTGTTGATGCGCGGGGGAAGGTGGTTTGGGGCCGCCCGGCGGCGAGCGCGAGCGAGGTTGTCGAGTTTGGTGATGCGGTGGCTGCGTTGGAACGGGTGGGGAGTGGTGAAGAGGGGGGCAGGATTAGGGCGAATTTGTAGGATGGGGTGGGCTGGTTGATGTATTCTTTGGGAGTCTTTGGTGTTTGGAGGGGGGGTCGGTGAAGTCGGGGCTGTTTGCTTGTGAACTTTGTTCTTGTTTTTGAGGAATCTGTGGGCTATTATCTATGCACATACTTGGATTATTATTATGTATACATTTTGCGCTACTTCTCAATTGACACGAACTTATCCAGATATTGATTCTCGTTTTGGAGTCGAATTGATTTGCTATAAATACACAGAGGATGGCGCAATCCTTACCTCTCCAGACAGAGAACTTCTGCTTTCGATAGCGAGGAAGCTACCAGGGTCCTGGGATATGCGACCAGACTACACCTGCTGGGAGTCCTTGGACTGTACATGTCTTTGATATTCGCAGTTTGCGTATCAGTCTTTTTCCTTTCAATTGCACGTAGCGTGTTTGTTGGTAATCAGCATCATGAACGCTCGGAGTTACACTGCCTCATTTTAATTTTGAGCTGGTGATACGTCTTGTTGAGATGACAATCGGTAATACCTTTGGATCGGGATGACAAATGTCATCATGCATCGATGGGGAAGAGTATGTGATGGCTGTAGATATATGAAAAATTTAATTTACTTCAGAAGATAGCAGTTATGGTTTGCGGACACCCCTTCGGTTCCATTGCGTGTGATATCGAAATTTGATGTCGCGGCGTTGATCAGAACAAAGACGTCGAATATTTTCAACAGCTTTTATACTACCTCGCTTTATTTTCCTCAACAAACTTAAACCACCTGCGCCACAGCTGTTCGCAAACAACCGATCACTCTGCCATCACATCGCCAGCCGATCCGCAAGGCTAAACCCTTCACTATCAATCAAATAAAACTGCACCATAGTCTTCCCATGGGAATTGATGCCCAAACAACAGCGTCTAGTCGAGAACCCAGAACGTCATTCTGATGATCTCTATACTCGACAATCCGGCACCCTTCCCACGTGCTGTCTATCGTAATATCTGTCACCGCGTGAGCGATCAAACCCTCACTCACATCCAATGACGGAGTACCGTGAAACGCTCTCAACCGTCTCTCACCTATCACGTGTATCCAAAGGATACCATTCCGCGAAGCCGGCGACTCGGAGCCTGATCGTCCAGTCGGCGGGAACCACGGAGCCCGCGCGACAGGCCCTGATTGGCTGGCTTCGCTAAATGGTATCCTTCGGATATGGGTGAGCGACATTAAACGGTCTCCGACGAAGTGGTCTGGGAGCGGAAATCCTGCATACTAGAAAACATATAGGGTTGATCGCGGCGCCGCTGGATCTGCGCGCTAATTGACTTGTACAATACACCAAGCCGACTTCCGCCGCGCCGGAGCATGCACCGGCGGATAGCCATAACTTCACTGATATACTACAGGGAAAATAGGCAGTAGATGGGCCCTTGCTTTTCAGTGGGGCATTCGGCGTCTATCAGATGCTAATAAAGGAAACTCGTGCGTCGAGTATACAAAAAGAGAGAAAGTGGTATAAGCAAATCAAACCAACAAGAAGAAGACGTATCGAGACACCATAACCCAGAAAAAAAAGTGCTGGGGCAGGACCGCTCCCCTCCGCGAGACAGCCCTGCCAATCCGTATGTTCCGGGCGCTGCGCGCGCGCGCCCTGGCGCCCACTTACTCGCCCAGCGCAGCGCAGCCACCAGCGCATCACCCGTGCGAGAGCTCGCAGCAACAGCACCACCACCACCGCTTCACCGGGCGGATGCCTACGGCTTGGCCTCCGACTCCGCCACCTCGTAGCTGCCGAGGTCGCGCGTCGGCACGGGCAAAAACGTCGCGGGGTGGACAAAGTTGAAGGCCGCGACCGCAATGACCATCATGGCGCCGTCGAGCGCAATGAAGAACTCCTCGTGCGTGATCAGGTACCCGGACCAGCCCTGCGACAGCTCAATCGTGCGATATATGCTCCTGATATAGATGACGACAATGGACAGCGTGGTCGCCGCGACAAGTGTCTTGACCCGGCCCGAGAGGGAGCGGTGCCGCACCCGCCAGAGGAACAGTCCGAAGAAGAAGCAGAACAGCGTGATCGAGGCCATCTGGAACACGATGCCCGCGACCATGATGTTCGTCCCCGGCTTGGTGTCCTCGGGCGGCGTCGCCTGCGACGCTACCGACGCCATCCCGCCCCCGACCGCTTGCACCACGAGCGATACCACGTCGCACGTGCAGAAGATGATCAGGTACATCTTCTCGGAGATGGGGCTCGAATCTCGCCCCATGGCGTTGATGAGTCGGCCCAGGATAACGTAGATCCCTGCGGTGAAGAATGTGGGTGCTGACCGGTTGGTTAGCTGCTGAATTGCAAAGTGGCTTTTTTGGGGGCTTGGGGCCTGGAGTGGCGGCGTTGTTGGTTGCTGTGTTGGCTTGGGGGCCGGGATCTTGCGAGCGCCAACTTACCGATGATGAGGGTCGTGATTTGCATGAGGAAAGCATCGCCGCTGTACGGACACTCTGAAGACCAGTATCGTCCTCCCCATCCTATCACCTCCGCTGTGGTGGGAAAGAGGCATTAGTAATGTGAAGCTTGTGCGTACAAAGCGCAAAGTGCAAGGTGGGGTTGCTTACTCAAGGCGCCTACGGCGAAGACAAGGGTCCACCAGGAGCGGGTCATGACGGTTTGAAAGCAGTGTGCAAACATGGAAAGGCCGAAGAGAACGAGGTAGGCGATGCCGGCCGATTTGGACGGCACGTATCCGTAGCTGGTGCCAAACCCCTCGATGGGAGGATGACAGGCGGGAATTCTTATCATCACCGTCTCAGACATGGCGGCGGCGGCGGTGGTGGTGATTGTGGTGATGCGGAGGGTGTGGAGAGGGTTTGTGTGAGGTTCTTGTAGGTAGTCCGGGATACTGTTTGTACTTGAGGCAAGCTGTGAGAGCCCAGCATCATTAGGACCCCACGGCTTTTAAAAGACCGCTGACACCATGATGTGTCGTGTCGACGGAGCTTAGACCATCTCAGAAAATTATTGAGGTTCCGTTGCGGCGGTGCAGAGGCTGATGGTCGAGAAAACACGGTCCCAGGCAACGAGCCAAAGTTGCGGGGGCGGCGCATATACAGAGGGGCGGCCCTCGCCAAGGCGTCTGTAAAAGGGAATGTTGTCGCGATAGATAGGGCTCGCGCGTTTAAAAAGGATTGCTACCTGGGCTTAGGCTTCAGGCTGCAGGAGTGGAGGAGTGGTGGGGCTGGTGCCTCCCGTTCCGAAAGTCCCGCGCTCAGCCTCACGCTAAGCCCCTTTAGGCAATAAAGTCGCGAGAGAAGCGGCTAGCGGAAGTTTCATCGTGCGCCTCCACAAAGAAAGTTTGATTGTTGTTATACAACTTCCTCTTGGAGAACACTAACGCCGCTGCGGGGGCCAAGTTCAGCCTGCTGCTGCTGCGCTTTGGCGATTTGTTCCAGTCGGTTAGCGGCTGCGGCTGCCGCAAACTCTGCCAAGTCGTCAAATCTCGGATCGCTGAACTTGGCCCAACACTCCTGCAGACCCGTCTCGAACGTTGCGGCGATGGCGAACCCTTTGGCCTTGAGCGTCCGAAGGAAGCCCAGCATCTGCATCCGCCCCTCCCCAGTCACCACTAGCCCCACATACACCGGGATGGCTGCCCAGAGCACAGCATCGAGTTGGACCCCACTGAGTGAGCTTTCTGCATATTCCAACGCAGTGGTGGCTTGTTTCCGAACCATCTCATCTTCCATCTTCGGCAGGGGGCAGTCCAGGAGCTGCCATACGGGCTCGAGAAATTTCCAGGACAGGCCGGTGAGCCCCCAATGATAGTACGCGAGCAGTGATTTGGTAGCTGGATCTGTAACATGACCGTCCGACGGGGTGTACGACAGGATGGCCGAAATGAAATCCCTTTGTAACTGGGATGCCAAACAGATTATCTCGATTCCTTCTTGTTGAAAGTGACCGTTACTGTCCGCCAAGGAGACATCCGAGTAACCACCTTGTTCGATAGCTTCAACCAAGCGGTTCAGTCTCATCTGCAACCTGGCCCACTGTTCGAGTTTGTCCACGAGGATATCCCAGCGATCCTCGCTACCGGGCTGTAATCGGATAGTAGGGCTGTGTGGCTGAAGCGTGCTAAAGAAAGGCGGGAGAGTCATGTCTACACTATAGCAGATTGACCTCAGGATGTCGCTCATGCGAAAGAACCTTAAAAGGGACGAGCCAAACGCAGATCCGCCCCAGACAAGGGCCAAGTTCTGTTGAAGATAATTTGAGATCGTCCTGAGCATGTTGGTCCAATTCTCCCCTTCTTCGGAGATCATGAGCTGGCACCTATTATTAGCCTGAGCGACGCTAGCGTGGTGGTGCAGGACAAACTTCTGCTACAGTGATGAGCAAAGCACATAACAACAACTCACGTGGCGGAGTGCTCGTCGGGCTGTGCATCTGACTCAAAATGAATTCGCGATGTTTATTCCACTTTAAGCGGGCTTCGCGTTTTTCCTGCGGGGAAAGATCCAGAATGGTGGCGGTGCGACTGGCGTAAACGGAACCCACGATAGAAACCGTTTTATGGACCAATTCGTTCTCCTGGAAGACGGTGCCGACATTGTCGTACGAGAAAACCGAACTCAAAGGCGTGGTGGAAACGCCCACAGCGCTGAAGAAAACATTGATGAAGCGCCAGGAATCCTGCACCACTGGTTTGTGCACCACCGGCTTCGAGCCGTACTGCACAAACGTGATCTCCCGGGATGACGTCGGCGGGGATGAGCATGCGGACCCTCGCGAAACGCATGCAGAGCAGGGCCTGCGTCCATCACACTAATGGTTTTCAGTCCCTCCAACCCCCTTTGGCAACGGCAAAGAGGCATCACTCACTTTGAGATGATCTTGCCGGCAACGCAGGCACCGATGGCCAGCACGCCGCTTGTCCCGTGACCCGCAAGGCATCGCAGAGCTTGGTATGCCGAAAGTAGTCGAGTAGAGAGAGGGCTGTCAAGGGACAACCAGAGTGTCTTTAGGCAGCAATATCGGGGGCGTGCGGAGAGATACGGAGCAAGCCGACAGTGATTCGTCCGCCTGCTTTTAGTGTTTGGAGGCTGACCACGTGACAGCTAACACAAATTAGACTAGTCAACGCCACAAGAAGGTGAGTCGCACCTTTTACTCTACTTTCTTATCATATAGCGAAGCCAATCCTGGAGCACTGCTTTAGGGGATTGGGCGAATAGTTTGTGTCGTGCTTTAATGCAGAAGCAAGTGGTTGGCTTCAGGCAGCTGCGACGAGGCTACGCGAAACACCAAGACACCTGAAAAATTCTACAACAATTACTTATCTCGAGTAGACAAGACCGAAATCGCACGAAAACAACAATTTAGCTTACCAGGATATGACTGCACATCATCTAGGCCTCTGCTGAGAGTGAGACGAAAAGTGAGGGCTGTTGGAGGTCGCCATCTTCCTATCTTCGGTATTGATCTGGACATAGGTAGGTAACAAAGAAGTGCTTTCATTCGCAGCAATAGTTGGCGCTTTCATCGCTTTCAAGGTGCAGAGAGGGAGTTGTTGAAAGAAAGTTGACCGGGCGGGGACTTATCACCTGCGATACACTAGCCGAATCTAGTTAACGGCCATATGCCGGTTTACATCATTAAGCTATAAACTGGATGGATTCTCCAACAAGACTTCTGCGCAGTTTTAACACTCAATTCTCACCGCTGCACACTATAAAGTTCACGACAACAACGGAAAAAGTCGTCCCATGGGAGCAGACAAGATCACTCTCACACGATCAAATGGTTGTATGCAAAACATACATTTTCTAATTAAGCCAGCGAAGCAGCTCAAGCCCCTTCGCCAGCGCATTATCCATCACCTCCATATCCCATCCGACCACAACCAGCATGCCTCATTCTTGTGTAGTATTAGAGCTCTCTCTTATAAATTAGAGATTTAAGCAGTGGTCTCAGTGATGTCAACCGAGATGTCGCCGACCTGGGTGCAGACGAAGTCGTCGGGGCCGTTGCCGCCGGCGTGGCAGACGACGGGAACGTTCTCGGCCTTGCCCTCGCCACCGACGGGACTGTAAAGAAGCAAAGTCAGAACATGTAACAGTGGCACGGATCATGGGGGTAAGAAGGTGTGGAAGAAAAAAGAAAGGAAAAGATGAGCATACCCCTTCTTCAGGTCCTCGGTGAAGTTGATGGTGTACTTGGAGTCGGAGCCGGCGACGTTGAAGTAGTAGTGGGAAACGCCGCACTGCTGGATCTTGGGAGGGGCAATGTCCGCAGCCTTGGTGGCGGAGCACTCGATGTTGCCAGGGTTGATGGTGAAGGTGGCGGCCTGGATGCCCTTGTTGTCGCGGATGGAGAGGTCCTTGACTGTGATGGTCTCGGCAGCGGCAATGCCGGCGAAGAGAATGGCGGTAGCGGCGAAGAACTGCATTTTGATGGTTTGGTTGGGTGGATTGGTGAGGTTGCGTTGAGCGAGTGATGAAGGTTGATGAGTTGGTGTGTTGGTGAGGGCTAAGGTGGTCGTAGTGGTGGTGATTTATAGATTCAAAGAACCCCTTTTCGCCTCGTATTGGCTTGAGCTATATACATCAGTTCACGATGTATACAAAGATCTACGTGAGGCAAAGGCTTGTTGCTGGGTTTGAGCAAGGGACAGCTGTCGTGAATACGAGGTGTGAGGAGGCCTGAGGAGAGTGTAGCACTGACGTTTAGCGGGGACAGTTAGCGCAAATTCGTGGCGCCATACAACACATTTTACAGATATGGGCATGCAAAGATGCAGCAGTTCGAGAATGCTATATTCCTTATAGACAAGAGTATGAACAGCTATTATTGCGGCAGACATGTGTAGAGAAGTGCAGCTGGCGACCGGCGTTGAGCAATGCCCCTCGCGTACACTGATGCGGGGGTAGTTACGTGGTAGGTGGTCAGGGGCGTCGGTGGCGTTGTTAAGCTTAAACTACCGGTAAGCTATGAATAGCTCCAAACCTCGTACACTGTCACCTCGAGTGCACTGCGAGATGAGATAGCGAATCAGAAACTTTTCCGCCTGGACACTGACCAATATTCAAGGCCCGTGGGTGCGATTTGTTAGTGATATCAAGACTGCCAAGCTCCACAGCCGCACTGTTCGAACATTACAGTGCAAGCAGTGCGTTGTGCGACACCACAATGCACGGAACGATCACAGAAATCCCCAGTCTTATTCGCCACCTCGTTCCCCGACGCATCCTGTAATCTATTAGTACAACCTTACCCCATTCACCAATCACTGTTAAGCAGTGCGTACCGCGTAGCATGATGATCATACTTGAAGAAGCACATGCTTGTTACTAAGTCCGTGGATGATGCACTGTCTACAAATCGAAACTCGAGAGGTCTCAAAAGGCCCTACTGGCTGCTCCTTTGAACCGTGTTTAACCGCAAACAAAGCCACCATGAACTTAGGCACACAATGTTACAAGGCGACAAAGACAGCCTCCTGAAACACGCGAATGAATGCAATAATGGCAGGGCGGCCAGTCAATTTTTAGCTTGTATAATCATCTAACAGTGGCGCAACTTGTAAGGCTGTAGGATTTTGCAAGTCGCTTCGATTTCTCCTAAATCAAGGCCCAAGGGCCTTCCAAACACTGATTGGGATGGCGGGTATGTGAACTCCACCATGTCATTAACCACATCTGATTGGTCGCTGGAGCTCCCTCGGTGCTACTCAGAAACCAAGCCAATCGGAAAGTCGGCAAGGAGGTAGCCAATGCTTAAGCTTTCGATGACAACGGGACAGCCCATGATTCTTAAATTTCTAGTTGCTAGTCCGTGCCCTCCTCGGGAACCGGGTCAAGGCGTTGCCGGGAGCCGGTCCTGGCGTTGCCGGCAACGTAGGTAACCAAAACCAACCGTATCTAACCGCCAACACTGACCAGTAAGAGCGGAAGATTACTGCGCCAACATAAGCCATCGATAATGACAGCAATTAGCGCCTCTCTAGCAATTCCCAGAGAAGCTTAACGCTTACTTTCTTAGTAGTAAGGTGAAAAAAGATTACCCGAATCTCTGTGTCAATTGCAAAACCCACCCCTAACGTCTGTCACCAATGCACTATAAACGAGCCTCACCGTTCACCGAGCCACACCAATCAGAGCATGCTGTGTGGGTTCTTATGCGCTCTGATTGGCGTGGTTCGCTAAACGGTGAGGTTCGTATGGGTGAAGGGCCAGTCACATTTGAGAAGTGACGTGCATTCGGATATATGGTGCACCCCGGATATAATTTTATATCCGGATATACGGAGTACTAAGAAGCTAACGGGTACTATCGGCGTGGGTAAGCCTTGCCGCCACTGTCACCCTAGGGAGCGATGAGGCAGTCTCAACACCACAATGAAACTCATATGGAAGAATTGCAAAACACCTCCGAGACTCCGACTACATGGCTGCAAGCTCGGAGGTATAACATAGGTAGGAAACATCCAAAGAGTATACGAGAGAAAAGCTGATCAGTTACGTTGAAGTGATGGATCCATACTCGTCCGGCACCGTCTCGCCGATGATGCCTGAGCAAGATTGTGATATACGACAAGACTGCCCTCACGAAATATGAAAATCGGAGAAAACAGTCGATATCTTCGCCAGGAATTATCGAAGACCTTACCCTTCCGATACCGTGTCCGCTTCTATTCCATCACGAGGCCGACCGCTTCACACTGTCTGTACGGCCATCAAAATGAGAGCTCCGGCAGCGCTATCTTCGCGAAGATACCTACATATACCTGACTTGCGGGTCCTGGCTGCATGGCGCTTAGCGGCGGTATGGGCTTTGGAGCAGCTTCGCTGCTTCACATCCAGCAGAGCCTCCCCTTGGTGAATCCTGTCCGGCTGTCGTGCAATAGGGTGACAAACGGAAACATCTAAGCCTCGGGAATTACAACAATAACAAATACTGCAACGCAAATGAGAGCGACACTCGCGGGATGGTATTGATTGCGCGTAGCAAGTCCGCCTCCAAAACCTGCTACCCCCTATATCCGCTCAACCCCTTTGATAACGCTTAGAGTCATCCACGTTGACAAAAGTGTAGACATCCCCCTCTCCAGCTTGCACTAAGCCATGCATACGTTTCGACTTCCGTTCGATTCCGTCCAAAGATGCAGCAACCAGGTCTTCTTTCTCCCAGCCTTCTACCTGGATCAAAAGCGGCAGAATGCTAGAAGACTTCCAGGTTGTCACGCCTCGGCGTTTTGATACCAGTATCGTACTGATGAGAAAAAGAATCCCCATGAAAGCTTCTGACATGGGTAACGCAATCCACGGCCAACTGATTGATACGAACTGTTCGGTTGTAGTTGAGTTGCCAAGTAAAGTTGTGGCACGAAGGTTGCTACCAATGGCATAGGTTAGACCTCTACTGATATTGGCCATTAGGTCCGGGAAACTGGATGAGTTCCGAAGGACAATTCCAACGGACTTGTAGCTATCGGTCGAGAATATTTCGGCAAGAAAGCTTTTGATATTGTAATCATCCTCGCTACCTATCGTGAAATTTGGGTTGCCAAATAGTTGTTCATCGTTGGCTGTTTTAAAGTTGTACGAGCTTGCAAACCATCTTTCTGTATCCGTTAAAGCTAGTTCTGTGGTATAGGTAGGTCCCGGGTGGAATGTGCCATTGACGACAGAGGCGTTTAGGAATGTCGTCGCGCACCACCTCAATTCGCATTCTGTAATTTCTGCAACCCGCGGCGGCATGTGATCTATGATAGGGAATCCTACTTTTATAACGGCAAGTTCCAAGATTGTGCTGTTCATAGGCGATATTCCAGAGGGGTCATTATAAGACTTTGCAGTAGATATCAAGACTCCGCTTTCCACAATGTTGAAGAGGAATCCATTTGGTGTAGTGTAGTTACAATACTGCAGGACATTACCTCCGTGTCTAGGTTCACAAGATATGTGTGTCCCTATAGTAGAGTTTCTGCATTTGCTGGCCACTCCGAGGGTCGAAAACGCGTTCCAGCGGCAGTTTCCGAAAGGACAGGTGAACTGGACTGGATTTCCGAGGTTATACAGGCCACTGTAAATGGCACTTTGAAGTTTTGGTGAAATACCATTGACTGAATGCGAATGTTAATCAAGGTGGTATCTTTTGCGTGGTTTAGGACATTACTTACATGCTGATCCGTCGACGACGTGATTCTTATATTCTGGACGTGAGTCAAGGATGTGCGCGACCCCTAACTCTGCGTTTTCGTGGTGTATTGACCTTACGGGGTATGTAATTAGTTGTTGAGTGAACGGTCCCACGGCGGTAGAAAGGACCATAATAAGCGATCCCCAAGCCGCAAGCTTACTTCGTAAACGTAGCCTCCAGAGAAACGTGAATGCGCCCCATGGGCCTCTGCTGGCTTCGTCAAACATTTCAATATCGTGGAGCCGGCGCGGGGAACCCATGAAGTGTAGCCATTTGAGTTGGCTGATGCATGAGGTTACTGGTACTAATAACGCCCCTCTTCCAAGTGTTGACAGGATGGCGACGAGTGTGTTGAGGGTAATGCCATGTGGTGTTTTCCACTCGGAAGTAGGTTTTCCCTGGTAGACCAAAAGAACAGCAAACACTGCAATCGTGCAGGCTAGGCTGAGGACTGCCGTTGATATCTCCCATTGCCAGTCTCTGATTGTGAAGTGGCAAACTCTTTCTGGTTCTTCGGTGCTTATGTTGCCAGGATCTGATGTCTGTTCTGTAGGGTGTGCGGTCTCAGTGACATGGACGGTTTCAGTAGAAGAAATTTGGTCGGAGCGAATGCTGGTTTGTTGTAATATGTTTACTCGACTGTCTCTCTCCTCTAATGCAGATAATGGGAAAGCATCGTAATGGCCTTCACTCTCCCAGTTGTGGCTGATACGGTTGGAGAAGATGTGTTCGTCCTCTTGGTGGGTCGACATTGTTCGATGCCACAGGTGAGGCTTCGTGGTGTTCATTTTGGAGTTTGTAAAGCGAAGGCTAGTAGATCGGCAAGGCCCAAGAAAGGACCAAAAGCCAAGAAGAGTGTGTTTTAGCAAGAATGGCGCGGCTTGTAATATATATAGCAAAACTTCCTGTCTTATGACGAAGGTGGCGGACAGCCAAGGAAAGATATTTTGCTGAGGTGACATGGCCGTTATTCTTAGAACGCCGTACAACCAGAGCTTCGATGCCGTGCAACGCCATGAGGTCTCCTGTTGCATGTGGAAAAGGAAAGCTGAGATACAGAGACGGATTTACCACGCTAATTATTAACCATAGAGATAAGAAATAGAGATACAAACAGATACCAACAGGAAAAGCGAAAACAAAAATAATATAAGATAAACGAGAACATTTACTGTTGTACAGGCTAGTAAATGTGCAACGTGTTAGCACATGTGGTGTGACCATTCACGAATGATGCAGCAAACAAAAGGAAAGAATTGACCGGTAAGTCTAGCCAACAATGAACAATGTCTTCGCAGCATCATAGATATGAAGAAACCGTTATCTCGACGTTTATCCGTTAAACTTCTTCACGCATGATCCACAAGACCAATACGGCTCTCGCATCGGACACCACTTACCGGTTAGTCGGTAAATTGAGTTTTAAGACAGCGGGCAGATCATAAGAGCTATCAAAAATGCGGAGCAGTAGATCTAAGCGAAAAATATGAAGTTTATTTTACGTGCTGACCAGTTGGGGGCTTTGTAGCCTTTGAGTCGCAGCTTAAATAGTTTTTAAAGCCGGCTTGCTTTTCAGATACTCTATTGGTACTTCTTAGAACTTGCTATCCAAGGGGTTGGGTTCGTTCCTTTTCTAATCTCCATTTACCATTAAAAACAAAGGGACATCTGTTGACGTATTGGAACAAGAGTTTCCGAAGACAACATCCATGAACATCTAGCTGATTCCCAGAGCCCATGACGATTAGCGATCTCTGCGTTCCTTATTAGCCGTTTCCGACGGTTATCAAGGTCGAGCTGTAAGCTTAATCAGAGCGATAGATTTGCATTAAACGATTTGAGTGGGGTAAATGTTTCGCGAAACATTCTTCAGAAGCCTGTTTGGCTGAATGTTTGTTTCTCGGGCAATCGACGAGAAGTTGGTCATGCAAATCGCTCAAGTGGTCGAGCGCATCCAAGCGACTGGGAGTGAGACCCCTTCTAAACTATCTGCTCGCCTATCTAATTTAGGGCTTCAACGTGTCGTCATCCTGCATCCCTCGCCCACTTCACATCGCTCTACTGGACGGGAGTCCGGCATCAACGGGAAGCGGGCAACGCGTCGACGGCCCGTCGCATTATATTTCATCTTCCCACACCCTGTCCGTCGACCGGTACCTGTCATGCCGTCAATGCCCCTCCTCGGCATGCTACGGATCCGTACAGAACCCCCGAAAACTGTCGGCAGTTCAGGGCCCTTCATGGTCTCATATTGCATCCTACGGCAATCGAACGACGTTGTTTACCTCCGGAGAATCTCCCAAAAGCCAGAGGTCACCACCTACATATATGGCCTCTGGTGGCGTCGTATCCGCATCCCGCATAAACAATGCAGTCAATGCGCCGTTTCCAGATGCGCGGAGAAGCCTTGACCTCTCGCCTCAGTCGTCAGCCGTCAGCCACCAAATCATGCGCTGGCCGTGGAGATGTCCTAGTCCAACGTTCCAAGACTGCTTGTCCCGCCTTGGCTTTGCTAGTGGTACGATAGCGCCAGCAACACAGAACTCCCTTCGAACCTGGGTAGAGCTAGAGCTCTCCTTCTTTATCTCTCCATGTTCTAGTCGCTGATGAAGAATAGGAGGCAATATATGTGTGACGCCGGGCTACGTCTCCGCTCATATGTTTAGGAGGTCTCTGCAAGGCATGCTAGTGGGGGGCCTCTAAACTAGGTTCGTGGAAGAATTCCAGGCCGCCAGGTCTATCGGTTACGCAAGATCACTCACTTGCAACGCGGGACGTTTGTCGCATAATCTTCAGCTAAACCCCCTAATGTTTCGGAGGATGGCCCCTCCGTCAATCTCCGGGTACGCTAGCCGCTTCGTTGCTTCTTTAGGAAAGGATGGGCGCGGGCCTTTGCCGAATTAGGCCGCCTGCCAAAACAAACTCACGAAACGGTCTACATGTTTCTGTCCGGGGTGCAGATGAACTGCTCCACCAGATCGCACGACCGCCCAGAATAGGAGGCCGCGGGTCGGGTTTCCGACACTCACCATGAGACACTAAGGGTCGTTCAGGCCTTCCAGGTGCCACCAGCTTATAAGCCTGTGTCTTCCCCGCCAAACAACAGCATCAACTCAAACACACACTCTCGTTAACTCACAAACAATCACCAACAACCACCAACAACCAACTCCACCAAAATGCCTTCCTCCCGCCAGATCATTACCGCCCTTGCCGCGGCCACCTTCACTGGTGTCAACGCTGCCATGGGCCCTGCCTTCTCCACCGGCCCGGTTGCCGATGGCTCTTGGATCCGCGAGGCGACCTCCACTCTCGTCCTTCCCGCCGTCCCCCAGGGCAACGAAGGCGATGCTTCCCTCTGGGTCGGCATGGGCACCTCCAACGGTGACCTGATCCAGTCGATCGCCGAGAGCGCTCCCTACCTTGCGAACCCCTCCAAGTGGAGCGCCTACGCCTACACCCTTCTGTCCACGGGTGGTAAGTTTAACCGATCCTACCTCACAGCCGTAGTGACATTGCTAACATTCTCTCTCACAGAGAACACGCAGATGCCCGTCCAGACCGACGGCACTGACGCCGACGAGGGTGACAAGATCACCATGCACTACAAGTTCGACGACGCGTCGGGCAACTACACCCAGACCGTCTCCCTGAACGGCAAGCAGATTGCCACTCTCTCCACCAGCGATGGCCACGCCCAGGGCTGGGGCAGCTCCGTCGAGTGCGCCGAGGAGAACTGCGGCACCGTCGGTGCCCACAAGTGGATCGACACCAAGATCATCCTCGACTCGGCCGACCCCAACTACATCAACACCATGGGCAAGGGCGAGGGCGTCACCGGCGAGATGTCCACCAGCGACGACGGCGTCACCTGGACCGTCACCGACATTGAGATCCCCGAGTTCACCTTCGGCTCTTCGTAAGCGTCTCGAAATGTTGTTGAAGGCTGGTTTCCTTGACGACTCTTGTTTTGCGCAATCTTTAAAGTGGCAGATCTTTTAAAAAGTTACTTCAATTCAATTCTCTGCCTTGGCCTTCAATTATGACTCTTGTCCCTATGAATATGCTTTTTTCGTGAATTAAGTCCGCTTTCAACATGACATCATGCCACTAAATTAAGAAACCTGCTTTGTGCTCTGAATTCGACTTTTCGATACTAACGTGCCACGGTTCGTCTCATCACTATCCCAATGAACTCTTTCGACATCTTTGCGAATAATAGACTTCGTTCCGTTTGACCAGTAAAGAGAAACAACCCAAGAGGATCAGACTATAATTATTAAGAACAACCCGTCAGTTAGGTCGGGATTCCAAAGTCCATCTCAACTTGCTCCATCAAATTGTGCCCCCGCAGTGCGCAATTCGCTAGTGTAATATCTTCGCTATCTCTCATGGAATCGAGAAGAAGCTTCCAGCGTGCCCACCTGGCCAAGCTGAAGCCCTCGCCCTGCTCCTCTGATACCTGCAAGTTTTGCATCGACCAAATGAGCAGTTTATGACCGCAATACCTGAGCCAAACCAGTGCCACCATGACAGCCTCAGCCGGCGAAGTATGGTTTCCGTTTTCTCCATTCTTTCTGCTTTCTCCATTCTCTCCTTTCTCTTCAACCACTCCGTTCACTCCGTCCACTTTCGTCTCCAGCTCCGGTTCCGACTCTGTGTCTACTGGTGCCTCCAACGCACCATGCAGAGACCACAAAGCGCACGGCCCGAGCAGCGGATCGCACACGCCAACAGCCACCAACCGTGCTATAAAAGCGCCCAAGTTCTGGCGCTCAACCAGCGGCAGCTTTTCCGACCCTCTCCACGCTTCCGTCACGTCCGCGACGAGAAAAGGCAAGTCGGTCCAAATGACGCCTTCAGCGGTCCGCACGACAGCGCGGCTCCCGCCCTCGCCCTCCACCGCCGCCGGCCGCTGCAGCGCGCCCAGCTCGCGCGCGTACAGCACCTGCGTGACCAGCCACGCCTGCACGGGGCTGTCGGCGGGCGTGACCTTCGCAGACTGCATCAAAATGTACCAGAGGTCGTGGAGGTCGAAGTCGAAGGCCTGCGCCGGCTCCGCCGACTGCGCCGCCCGTCGCGTGATGTTGGCCATGGACAGTTTGACATTGTTCCACAGATCGCTCGTCTCTAGCCCCATTTTCTTGTCGATGGCTTCTCTGACCCGGCGGCTCATTTCTTGCCGTGCCTGGATTTGCTTCTCGTCCATTTCGGGGGGGCGGGTTGAGTAGGGGACTTTTGTGCGCGTGTGCTGCTCCTGAGGATAATTGCAACAAAGGAGAAATGTAAGCGTTTGAAGGGCCTGGGAAATCTCACTGGTGCCCGGTCATGTTAGCGAGCCCGTGAGGAGAAATACGGTCCAGGATGCTTAGCCGAGAAGATTCCAGATCACATGGCAGAATCCGGATCTGCTGAGGTTGAGGTTGGCGGCCAAGGCCTGAGGCAGCTGTGCCGCCGGAAATGTGCCGTTTGGACGGCCGATGGGGAAAGAGTATACTAGCCGGGGGTTATAAAGGTAAAACGTTTGCCTTCTTGATTTTTCCCTTCTTGATGTGAAGGACCATATTCCGGATGCTCAGTTGTTGGCGGAGATGGCTATCCCTGTCGCAATGAATCATTGCTTATCGTGTTCGTGCGGGGTAAGTGATGGCTGATAATTCTTAAATCTGAGGGGTGGGATAGAGATTTTGAAGTACTCCGTATTTCAAAGGCACACATGCCAATGACGTGAGCGAATGCCAACGCTATACTTTTTCTTGGACACACTGATAAGTACGGTAAGGTCTTTTGTCCGAAGAACTTCAGTGTTGCTTTGACATCAGTGTTAGTTGTAACTCCCGTCTACTATTTTGTGCAGATATTTCTTCTCGAGACCTAAAAGCACTCGGAAAGCCTAGTGTAGGCACTTTCAATTTATTTATAAAGTTTGCAATTGGGTTCTGTGGACTGTCCTATGTTCCGAGGCTGTCGCCGCAAATTTCACACTCGATAGCTACCCGGAGTGGAAGCTCGCTTCCCCCGCTGACGCAACAAGTGGCTTACGTAGCGTCCGCCCGTTACGCATTGCGCACGTTCTCCCGTCACTTCTTTTTCTTCTTCTACAATCACTCGTACAAATGTTTTCCTCTCAACATCTTTGCGCGAATATACCATCGCCCCGTCCACTTCCGATTTCTCTCCGTGTTTCAACCTCCATCCCGTGGGCACTCAACTTCCGCCGCCGCGTTGAAATCCCCCTTTCTCCTCTCCACTGATCGACAGGAGAATGCTAGACGAGCAGCAAGACCGAATCCATCTGCAGCGTATCCTCGCGTGCGCCCGTCAGAAGATCTCAATGGGCGCCTGATGAGCTCTACTGGCCGGCGGTCCGCGCGGCCTAGTTGCCGAAGACGGAGGCGCATTTCGGCGTGTGAGACACTTTAGGAAGGCGTCGCTGCTCCTCTGTTTCTTTTTCCACGATATAAAGATGGCGACGACCTACTGTTCTGCGATGGTTGGCTAGAAGATCAAGCAGCCATGGTTTTCTCTCACCTCGCCCTGCTGGCTTCGGCCGCGCCCTTTGCCCTCGCAGCCACCAGCGGAAGCTTCAATGCCTTGTCCTTCAACGTCGCTGGATTGCCCCAATTCCTGCAGGGCAACGACGAGTCCGGCGACAAGACGTCCAACACGGCAGAAGTCGGCAAGCGATTCGCCCAGTACGGCTACGACATCATCCACGTGCAGGAGGATTTCAACTACCACGCGACGCTATACGAATACGACAACCACACGTATCGGACACCCACCAGCGGAGGCGTGCCCTTTGGTTCCGGGCTCAACACCCTGTCCAACTTTGACTGGATCGACTTTACCCGTACCAAGTGGGACAAGTGCTCCGATGCGTCCGAGTTCAACTGCTTCACGCCAAAGGGCTTTACCTTTATGCGCTTGAAGATTGACGATGGCGTATACATCGACTGCTACAACTTGCACACCGATGCTGGGTAGGCGACATGTGCAAGACCCCACTCCGCATCTAAACTAACATGCTCGACAGTACCGAAGAGGGCAACCAAGTAGCCCGCCGAGCCAACGTCCAGCAAGTCGCCGACTACATCGACACCTATTCTGTCGGCAACGCCGTGCTCGTCTTCGGCGACACCAACAGCCGCTACACGCGCACCGAGGACAACATCAACCTCTTCCACACGCAGAACAACCTCACGGACGCCTGGCTGTCCCTGGAGCGCAACAACGAGATCCCCACCGTCGAAGAAGTATGCGGCAACCCCGCCGAGAACAGCACCTGCGAGGTCGTCGACAAGATGTTCTACCGCGGCTCGCCCGTCCTCACCCTCAACGCCAAGTCCTTCGCCTACGACTCGCAGCAGTTCCTGTCCGCCAACGGCACCACGCTCAGCGACCACAACCCCATGCTGGTCGAGTTTGAATGGAGCTCCTCGGAGACCCTGCGCCAGTCCAACTTCATCGGCGGCCCGCACGGCGCCTGGTTCAGCGACAGCGCGAACCTGACGGCCAAGGCCTCGCCCAAGGGCGCCAAGCTCATCCTGCAGGGCCAGAACCGCCTAGATGCCGTGGCGATCACGCTGGGTGACGGGACGGCGCTGGCGCACGGCGGCACGGGCGGCGACGCCTCGGATCTGCAGCTGGCCGCCGACGAGTACGTCAACATGGTCTATGCCTGCCAGGACAAGTACAACGACCACACCCGCGTCTTCTACCTCGAGGCTAGGACCAACAAGGAAGGCCGCGTCACGGCCGGTGTTGCGACGAATGACTGTGCGACGTTTAATGCTCCGGAGGGGTGGGGGCTGGTGGGCTTTGTGGGCCAGGATGGCGACGAGATCGACCAGTTGGCTGTGCTCTGGGCGCCTGCGTGAACGTGGGATGCCGTGTTGAGAGTGCGATGAGTACGCTGTGGTCTTGATTCTTTAATGTGTTTAAATACCTTAACCTAATGCTGAGATGTTTTATGGTTGACGGTGGCAGATCTTCCGAACCTCGATGTGATAGCCGCGCCAGTTTGGTCTTTTGAATACTAAAAGCGATGCTGCCAAAGTTTCTCGATGACAAGAATGTAGTGCATTGGAGCATCGTATACGAGTAAGACAGCGCAGTCAGTGTCTTTTCTGGGGGATCTTCCCCGGCATTCCGCTTGAATAAGTCAGCCTCTCATCGCGATCGGCCAATGAGCATCCGCACTGGCCAGCATCTGCTCTACATTTTCCAAGAGCATCGCCATCGATACGAAGGCAACGGATAGTGTTACCGTCCGCAGCATGGCAAAAAGTCAAAATCCGAAAGCATCCTACTAAGCTCAACCTCCTGTATTTGGAACTAAAACTTTCGGAGCCTGATTAGAGTCGAGTTGCAATGTGCCCTGGGCTCAATATAGCCCGCGGTTCGAAAATTATGAAAGGTAAACGATGTTCTCTTCTCCTCCCTCTAAAACTTTGCTCTTTTTCCAAAGACAAGCGCATCGAACGTCCATCGAACACTGACTGACTCTGCAGCGGCTAGAGGAGCCACTGACAGATTGCGCCCGATATACGTAGACCCAGAAGTGAGACACGGCGTCGTTGTGGCGTTCTTCCCAAGAACCAAGCCCCCGCATTCCATTCTCAACCGTTCGCTTCAGAAACAAA